CAGAAACGACTATTATTCACATTGATAGACATTTGAGAGACTTTAAGAAAAATAAATTCCCTACCGGCCAAATAGAAGTCTACATTTTTCAAACTTATATATTTTATTTTTTCACGCAACGCTCACGGGAGCAGGACTTAATGTACAGCTGTTGAGGAGACTGGTTGACTATAGGGAAAAACACACGCACGCATGAAAGAGAATCTGACAGACTGCCAAATAAATACTGTTTACCTCTCTGCTGATATAAATGTTCTCAGTGGTTTGAACTATCAGCTGTCATTTTGAGAAAGAGTTTATTACATATTTTAACATTAAAAATAAGGTTTTATATCGTACCAGGTTTTCTCATTTCTACACCCAACCATTTCCCTTCTGCAAATTCCGCTGGGCCAATGTATCGCACAACGCCTAGTTCGCCGTTAACAAGCACACTTAGACCCTGCAAACAACACAATGAGAATGAAAAAAAGGTAGTTGGGGAGAAAAACATCAAGTAAATTGTAGTTTGTAAAGAACTCAGAATTTTTTCTTTGTCCCACGCTCGTGACTAGACGAAAAACATTTTCCTCTAAATTATAGTTGAGTTTGCAAATGTGTCAGAATCAATGCAAATTAAATTGTGCGATATAAAAATATCTTGTGGGCGTTACAGTTATAACACGCGGAAATGTTATCCAGGTTTTCGAACATACAGTGACTTGGAGTACTGCTATTCTACAGGGTGAAAACTAATTGAATAAATGTTATCCCTCTGTCCGTTTCTCAGTCAGATCCTCGGTATCTCTCTATGCCACTAGATGGGGAGAGCTCCCATTCTAAGTATATTCAGCTATGAGAATTCCGTGTAATACAAAGCAGTGAGCCCTTACCTCAAGGCTCGAAGTCTGCCTTTCCTTCCGAAGGCGCAAGCACGATTGAGGCAAATATATACTTCTTACTAACCGAAATCGTGGTCCTTCAAATTACAGATCGAGTTTTTCATAAAATCATAAATCCCAGTGGAAAAACGCGGTTCTGTAACTTACAGTACGGACCACGAAATCGAGGTTTGTGGGATATTTATCTATCTCTGGGTTCAAACAGAGGTGGAGAATTTCAATTTAAAGGAACTTTTGAATTTAGCAGGCCGTGCAGAGAAATACAGCAGCTGAGTTGACCAATCATAACACACCTACTAACTGAGAGATGTGACAATAACTCTTAACTACGCGCAAGCTGTGATTAGGCGATCGAGGGGTGCCTTTGTAGACACACTGTCAATTGTGTGCGGACTACTGAACATTTTATTTACCGTAGTAAGTTGGAATTCTGCTGACCCTTTTCCTTTCTGTTGAGGTAAACTACCCCTCCGTATTGTCTGCAAGCTTCTGAAACGGATCAAGATTTTCATATTTGCAAAACTGAATTACCATCATTAGCCTTTAAATTGTCAGTTATAAATTGTAACTTAGTGATAAGTTTCCAAAACTGTAAGGACAATCAAAGAACCACGAACTAATTTCTAATCTTCATACTTATCAGAAGCAACTGAAGATGCACTGCCTCGTCTTGGTGTTTGTTGGTCCGGGTTGGACTGGGTCGATACTTTCCTCGCGCTACTGTTGAGGTCTGGGTTGGAGTCTGTTTGTGATAAGTCGCTTTGTGATCCGTGTGATCCAGACGCTTGTAATGAATTCTGGGAGCCGAACTTGCTCTTCAGGGCTGGGATTGTTGGGACTGCAAAGCCATTCTGCTCGCTTGTGTGTGTCAGGTCTGATTTCCTAGAAATGGAAAACTATTTAGCTCATGTATTTCTGACAGCGAGAAGAGTGACTGGGATCAAATTTCTCCTTAAAGCATCACTGCTGAATAGGACAATTAAAAATAACGAGTTGAACGCAAACTAAACAAGCTCGTGATTGTCAAACTAACTCTCCTCTAAGTACCATAAGAAATGTATAAGGAGCAGTATGGAGAATAAACATCTTGATGTAAGGGTGTAAAAAGTTAAAGAGTGAGCAAAACACGAGAGAGATCATTCTTAAGAAAATCTGAATTATATAGCACGGGGTTGGACATTCCACGTGAATAATTTGCAGAGGTTTTCGTAACATCTTTCTACGTGCTCTGCATATCTAACGACAAAGCCTCCTTAAATTAGGAGAGTTACTAACTTGGTGACTTTAGATGGAGGAGCAAACACGCCATGGCTCGGTTTGCAGGCGAAGTATCTGACTCCTGCTACTGAGCCATCGTTCTTGCCAACAGCCTGCTCCAGTTCAATACCGAGCCACAAACTAGAAATTAAAGTTAAAAACAAACTGATGTAATAAATTCTCATTTCTAGTGAGTTCACATACAATTTCTTTACTTGCAAAGAAACTTTGAAAGATTTAAAACTCAATAATTACTGGAAATATATGAAAATCATATATGTGCACTGCGGTGAAGAAATGAGCGATCCGCGCATCTATGAACATTATGAAACTCGCCTGAAAGGAGTCTTTGATTTCTTTCAGGATCTCTAGGACATTTAACTGGATCATAACAAAAAAATTATGATTGCAGAAAGCTCTAGGGAATCTTTAAAATTATACTTGGAATTCAATACTAAGGTACTTTTAAAAGCAACAACCTAGCAGTTAAGAAAAATAATTTTCAGGATTGTTGAAACCATAGGCACAAATTTTGCAAAACGTATTTGTTTTCTTTTTCGATTTTCTGGTACGCTTTCGGTTCAAGAAATTCAACAGCCATTATTTTATTTGGATTTGAGTTATTACAGTACACTATATCTGCAACTAGAACCTACCAAAATCTTTCGATGAAAACTCACCCTTCAGCAAACTGCGTTCTTCCCATAAACTTGACAACTCCGTTTTTCTGTCCGGCGACCATGACGTTATCACCAATCTACAATAGAGAGCATAACCTCTGGTTATGAGCGTAGTCTCAGTTATAGATTTTTCGCTGGAAAATGTTACTATCATCTTGAATGGCGAAATGCGAGAAAAGGGTCGCAATTAATCACCCGTAACCAAAGGGTACTAACCTGGAAACCTAGTGTTTCGTCGGTTCCATTCACTCGCGGCGAGGGAGCTGGGGAGCCTGAGCGAGAGCCTGATCTCGAGTTAGGTCTTGAACTGGACCTCGACGACGGCCGTGAGCCAGACTGAGAGATCTGGGCTTGAGCAATACGAGAGGCAGAGGTTGGTCGGGAATTGGGACGGGAGTTTGGTAAGGAGTCTGCTTTACTTATCTTGGACAGCGGAGCGAAGATACCTGATGATTGAATGCACAAAAATAAGTACCTATATTCAGTGTGGTTGAAAGTCAGGCGAAATCTTTACAAAACAGAACCAAAACAAAGAATCAAACAAACAAACAAACAGACAAAACTAGGCATAGAAAAATAAGGATCTGGGTTGGAGATAATCTGGGTAGCAACAAAAAAAGATGCTGAGAACTTTTACAACATTGATATTATGGACTGTGGAGGATAATCCTGTGAAAGTGGATTTGTGGTTAGAGTTATTTTCATGTAGTGAACAAAATAAGTATTACAAATAATGAACTAACATTCTTAAAGCTTCTCACCCCCTAAAAATAGACAATTAATGTTACTAAGGGTGCATTTTCTTATGATTCATGCAAAATGTACTTACTGATATGTTTGTCTTTTAATGCTTTGAATCAAGTGATAAAGTGCAAAGACACTCCAACTTTTTATTGGGTATGCTCAATAAATTTCCCCAAATATTTTATTGGTACCAGCCTAGTTTGGTATGCTTCACCTTACCATGCTTAGGAGTACATTGGAAGTATGACACTCCCCCCACTGAACCATCATTTTTTCCAACGGGTGTCTCCAGTTCCACACCAGCCCATTCCCCTGAGGCAAAATCTGTCGGACCACAGAAGCGAAGAATCCCAAACTGCAATGAAATCAATTAACACTTAAACTCCAATGAGTGACCAAGACAGAGTTTCTCCTTACAATATCAGGAAGATAATGATGAGAATAGAGAAAATTATAAATTGGGAATTGTTGGTTGATTCAAGACCAAATCTCCAAAGTAACTTAAAGGGATTGTATTGCAGGCAGAAAGGAGAATTACTTACTAACAAGGTCTTCGTTTTATCGTTGATACAATCACATTTTTCAGACAACTATTTGAACAAGTTGCAACAAATTTCAAAAATTTGTTGCTACTTGTTGGAGGGACAAGTTGTTATGAAGCTTTGTTTGTTGTGTGACTGAGAACTTTATGGACATTATTGTCCATGAAACAGAGCTCATCCTGACTACACCTTACCTTGGGATTCATGCCATCATTGCAACAATAAAATCCTTGAATGGGTTGCACTAACTTTCTTATAAAGTAGTACATATGAAGTGGTTTGCTGCAATGACCATTCACAATGTCTTTTCCCATTGTATCATCCTTTCCAAGAAGTCTTAAGAAATTTGTAGATGAAAGCAACTAAATCATATCATTATGTACCTTACTTCCTCCAATACACACTTGATCACCAATTTTAAGTCCCATCGAAGCCAAAGTAGACGGAACCTCATTCTAAAAAGTAACAAATGTACATACAAAATTGATTTTGAAATTGTTGAGTACAATGCAATGAAGGTAAAACAAATTGCATCATCAATACTATTGATAACACTTCAAATAACAACTAGCACTGTTGATGAAAGGTTGAAAAAACAAATTTGCATCATTATCAATATGAATACTAGATAATTATTTTTTTTCATTACTATTAAAATTGTTTAACAGAGTGCATCTCAGAATATATCATCACAACAAGCTACAAATTTCATGAAAAAGTCCAGTCAGACTGGAACATCTTATTATCATTAATTTATATATACTGTGTTGCCAAAATGATTTTCAGAAACCAAACTGTGATAAAAATTAGGTGGTACACTGACAAGCCTCCATGCTGAAAATTGAGCTACAAACATTCAGAAAAGCTTGCACATTTTTCAGAGTAAACAGTGAAATGTGCAGTTGCAGGCTTGTTTTGACAACCCTGCATACAAACTATCATCTTCATTTGATAGTATAGAGCCTTATGTATAAATGATATATTTTTGTAGCTGTACCTCTTGATCTTGCATAGGGTTAAGTGGAGGCTCAGCTTCTGAGAGAAGTCTTGTCAGCTTGTCAGCAACAATTGCTGGTTCTGAATCTTGTTCATACACTGCAGCTGTACAAAGATAGGTAACTTACTGCATAAGAATATGGAAAGTTAACAAAATATTCTACAAAAATCCTCAGTCAGAGTGTATCATCTCAAAATTAAAATTCAATACCAGACTATCCATTTTGTTTAAGCAGGAACAATTTAAGATGAAATTAACAAATTCTACTCCTCCAATAAAATATTTATGAATGCTCTTTACTCTTACCATCAGGAATACAGTGCAAAGCTAGTCTGTTAAGTTTGTCTCTCAAAGATGCATCTGCTCCATGCTGAAGCTGAAATACATTAACAGTGATATGATACTGTTTAAAATTTTACTAGGTATAAAAAGCTCATGTCTCATAAAGTGATAAAAACCAAATTAAAAAGAAAAAGATTGGCTGTTTTAATCAGTTGATTGAATATTTTATTTAACAGATGTATAATTTCAGGTAAATAATCACAGTCAAACCTTGGTCATCTTAGGGGCAGGTGACACTGGCAAAAAATTAGGCAAGGGGGTAGGGGTGTGACATGACTTTTTTTCCACTGAGTAGGAAAAATCAATTACAGTTTTGAACTGTTTTGAAATAATGGTTAGTATACAGATTCTACTAGACACATTAAAGATTTATCAAATGATTAGGGAAAATTTAATCAAAAGAAAACCAGACAGGTAAAGTCAGCATATCAATTTCTAAAAAGTTCACTGGACCTTTTCTCTTCAAAATATTTTATTTCCTTCCTTGAGAAATAAAGCTACCAGGGGTTATTTGCTTTGGAAAATTGTCACACCCTTTGATAAACTGTTCAGAGGTTGGTGTTTGGACCATGCCCTGGGACAAAATAAGTGGAAACTGTAGAGAAGTGGCCATGAGTGAGGGTTCAACTGTATTATTTAAATTAAAAAATGTAATCTTAGTGGGCGCTTACTAAACACTTGGCTCCTTCTAGGCAGAGATTACTTGCAGCAATGTGCAGAGATGTGCCATTATCAAATTCTTTACACCGAGTATCAACATCTGCAAGTAAAAAAAAGAACAAGCATTATAACAATAAACCAGTTGTCTGGATGAGATACTTCTTTTGATACTGTAGGTTGGGTAGAATCCTATGAAAACACATATTCCAGTGCAACAAGCTGCAAACATTTGGCTGTCATGTTGAGAAAAAGAATTTGGCATCTAAAATTGTAAAGTGAATTGCTGGTTTGGAAACTGTGTTCATTGATTGTTTAAAATAAACAGTTGCTTCCTTTTATCACTCCTTGTTTATAGTTTCTCAGGCTAATTCATTCCAAAAAATCCTTTGCTTAGACATACATTTTCTTGAAATTGTTATTGAAAAGTATAAAAAAAGGGCTTTGCCTCGTAACTCTCTAGTCAACCCTTTAACTCCCATGAGGGATCAAGACAGAATTTCTCCTTACAGAATACAATATCAAGCAGAAAAGTGATGAGAATGAAGAAAAATATCAGTTAGGGGATTATAAGTTGATCCAATACCAAATTCTTTAAACTAACATCAGAAGTATGGGAGATAGTAAGGATAATTACTAATGAGATCTTGAGAGTTAAAGGGTTAATGACCTACAGTGTCCCTAGGGTTTTTATTCAAGAGGGTTCAAGAAACAATGAATATTTCAGTAAATTGATTTCTTTCAGTTTGATATAGCTCTTTAAAACATACCTCTTGCATTAGAAGCCTTCAGGAGAACTCTAAGGATTGGTGCGGCATCAAAGAAGGATGCATAATGTAAGGGGAGCATGTCAGTCCAGCGACACTTCTGACTAACATCACTACCCTGTGCAGGTTAATAATGAGATAATGGTAATTGTTACTGAATACAACTGATGAAATCAGAAAAACCTCTTTTAAAAATTGTATATGATTCTATAGCCACCTTACATACAAATTATTTTATGCATGCTCATAAAAATAGTGTATTTCAAGGGAGAAGTAACAAGAATTGATTTAACTGTTCTTACCTTTGAGATCAGTGAACTGACAACACTACTTGCAGCTCCAACATCACCAACACCAACTACAAAACAATGCCAATGAAATCAAAGAGGATGCTCCAGTCTTATAAGAGAAAGATCCCACAGGCAGAGAGAAGAAGGCTTTCTAAGATGCCTATGACCCACAGGCATGCCTGTTGTACCCTACCTTTTCCAACCTTAACCAACCATCTAAAAAATTTAACCCTTTAACCCCTAAGAGTGACTGACATCTAATTTCTCCTTACAGTCTCGCCCCTGAATCAAACATTTAGGTCATGAGAATAATAGAAAAGAATAAAAGCAAAATCTCCTCATCAGCACCATAGGAAATGTATAGAAAACAGTACTGAGAATGTGTATACTGATCTTAGGGTGTAAAGGGTCAGGTCAATTATTTTCTTACTGACTACTGAGTGTAAAAGTATACCTGCACCAGCTTTGCAAGCATAATGCAGCAATGTCATGTCTGTCAAACCATCCCGATCATCAACATGAGCACCTCGTCTTAATACCTGAAAGTTAGAGGGTGAATGAAGGTGAACAACCTGTAATGATTTGAATATTTTAAAAACAATCTGAGTTTTAACAAATCGATACAACAATTATAAACTTAGACATTGGGCTTGCTAAGTCTACCATTTTTCTTGATCATAAACTACATGCATGAGATTTCCCATGAATCATCTGTGATTAAGTCAGAACAAAACATGTCAACAACATGCAGAACTCAGGATAGAGGTACCACTATGCAAAAAGGAATAGTATTAATCTTCCATGACATCGAGACATTGATAATACATTAAGAAAGGTAATGGAACTGGTTACACCTCATGGAATGTAAATTTGATTCCTAAAATCCCTCAACTAAGCAAGGTAAAACTCCATGCCTTTGTCTGTAGTCTTGTGACTTCCTCTAAGAGTTCCATGTGGTGCTGATAAATTTTTACTGATTTCTTTCCACTCATATAAGAGACTTAACTGGAAAAAGGATAGCTTGTTGTTCAACTATTAATGTAACTGTAATTAAAGGCAACCTTAAAAAATCCAATCTTAGCTCAGATAGAAATTGTGTGCTTTTGTGTACACAGCTCACAGGCACATACAAATCCCTCTAGCTCACCTCTCTAATAAACATTTCAATGTTCTGTTGAACTTGTGGTACCCATTGTCTCATAATTGCAAAAATCTCTGAGATGGTTGTCTTTGGTCTACAAGAAATGACAATTCAAGTTTGAGAATACCAATACCACAGCTGGAGGTGCAACTGATCTGAGCAAACTGATGTTTAAATTACATTTTATAACAATTCTTACTAAAGCCAATTTTAGAGTTGTTACAAAGTGCTGCCTCTCACAGTTAAATTAAGAGACACTGCATAACCAGGGTTTTATTGTCCACTATGTGAATTTTAATTTTATACAATTATACAATAATATCAAAATGGAAGGGTTTCATTTTGCTATTTCAGGGAGTTAAGTCAACTGAGGCTATGCTTCCTGTTTCAGCATAACATTACATACATGAACCAATGAAATACACATCCGTTGGAAAGATGCAGTTGAATTAATGAAAAGAGTAATCATGGTCAGTCATTTCCTCTAACCAAGAGTATAACCTACTTTTTATGGCTCATTTTACATAACTAAAATGGATTGAAATTTAATGATAATGACAAGTTTCACAAAAATATATCAACTTCATTGACTCGGGAATCACCTCAACCCTTTCAGTCCCCAAGACCTTGTTAGAAATTCTCCTTACTACGGCCCGTACAATTTTTATAATATAAGTTCAGAGAATTTGTTATTGGATCAATTAATAATCCCCTCATTGAATTTTTTTTTCTTATAACTTGTCTGCTTGATATTGTATTAATTTGATGCTGTAAAGAGAAATTCCCTCTTGGTCACTCATGGGAGTTACAGGGTTAATTGTAAGTCTTCTTGTAAACAAGGGTGTGAATGTTGAGTCATGGGTAGCTTACACTAATGCAGTATATTGCAATAGATTTATCAAAAACCAAGATTGCATAAACTTACTCTAAAAGAATATCTTGACAGCCAGGACAGTTTGGATCAAAGAAGGTTAACTCTAGCTTCCTACACTGCAAAAAAATGAAAAAGCAAGGTAAAAAGATATGATAATAACTATTTTGTTTTCTTGCTTGAAAGAATTCACAAGTATGAAAAATTAACTAGACCTTCCATTGAAATCTAAGGTATTGTGTTACCTGAATTGAAAGACTTTTAATTGACAATTTATAAATGCCTAGATATATAAATCCGCCTACGTAGTTGGGTCTTTCAAATTATAATTTCTATATTAAGGATAATTATTTTTATTTGCTAATTGGTAACTCAATTAAATGTGACAAAATTTCAACTTATTGGAGTTTTCTTTAAGCTGTTATAATCGTGAATAATTAATGGTATTTGCTTGCCGTTTGAACAAAGACTAAGAACTTGTTAAAATTCAATAAACACAAGCTTGTTTGGTTTTACGTTAATTTTTGTTTCAAGTGCTTTTCATAGTTGTCAGACAAACTTACGTTTTCGCACAAAGGAGGGTCTGCTGGCGGATGAGAAATTGGCTTATCACGAGCCGGCATTACAAAATCGGTCACCACAAATCCTGAAGAGAAGTTGGATGCCTTTTCCTGAAAATATAAACACAAAGTCACCAAGCGTTTCGTCTCGCACGAGTTTGTTTACATCCAATAAAACCACGAAACAAATCGACGAAAATTCCTACTTACCACCACACGTAATTAGTCACCTCGTAATTGATTACAAAAAATCACTTTTCACAATTTCTTGATTAGGGAAATGTAAAAAAACCACTAGTTCCCTAGACTCAAAGTTTTACCAACATTTGTTGACATAACTTCACATCGGACGAACTGGTGAAGTACTGTAGCGATTAATCGCATTAATTTACGGCAAACCAGTGTTTGAATTTTCTTTCAACCCTGAAAAACTCTTTAACACCTTTGTAAATGAAAATGAATTTGTCTCAAACAAACAAAATTCTCAAAAGGTATTTCAAAACTGTAAACCTATTTTCCTTAAGATAAACAGGCAGGCCATGACGACATATTCTAAAATCCTTCTCTAACACACGATGAAATAGGACGAAAAATAATTCACGGCTACAAATTCAAATGCGTCCTACACTTAAATAGATGTCTTACCTTCCCAGGCATTGTAAAATAAAACCAAAATTGTAGAGAAAACGAACTTTGAGTGCAATTTTATCGGAACATTTCCAACGCGTCCAGAATGTTTTTGGAGGGAATCTACAAATTCTGACGAAAGCCGCTGGCCGATAAATTCACAACTCACGGCGCCTAAACATTTCCCCTGTATTGGCTTCTCTATCTTTCAGAAGAAATGTGATGAAAGTACGAAGGATTTTTCGTCACAGGAAGTTGGTAAAACGTGCGGACCGAAGTTACAGTCCTTCAGGAATTACTTTTGTCAAATACCAACAATATCGGATCAAAACGTTCGTAATTGTTCTCATATATAATCCGCACCGGCTGTAATTTGACCTTTAACACTGTTAATCATTTTAGTTTTCTTTTTCGACCATTCGAAGATGGGAATTTAATCGAATTTGGTGACTTCTTAATGAGAGAATGTTTCAGTGGCGTCCCAAGAGAAAAAAAAATTATAGTAAGATCAGAATAAAAGTTAATTATGAAGGAAATCGCCGACCGCGCCTTTAATCTTTGTCGTTTCCTTTTCTATCTACTTTCCTGTGTTTATGGATGAAGGATAGAAATCACGAAATTTCTTTAATCTGTGAAGAATTTATTTTGAAAAAAGGAGCAAATTCTGGTACAAAGTGACGACAGAAGATCACAAAGCAGTCATGTCATCAAAGAGAAGGGAGGAGAGAACGTGTTTGAACACGGGTTTCCATTAGTGCCAGACAACCGCGATTTAGTCGTTAACTAAAATGCAGTCTTTCTACATTCGACTCGCTAAATTTATGTTGAATCTCATTTATGGCCAAACTTGATATTGCATATCACTCAAAAATGCTATCTCATCTCGCGAAGAATTCCTATCAAGTGACATCATATATTTCAAAAAACGCTCGAGTAAACTTTGATCTGCCAATATCAAAACATTTACGACAGAGGGATTACTGATCATAGTACAGTAACTGTTACGGGTTTAAGGTTAGTAAACGAGACGGGGGCGATAATGACCCAGAGCAAAAAAGGGAGGTGGGACGGGCTGCGGCAAGAACGCTTCAGAAGCCTTTTTCTGAAAAAGGTCTTTTAGCCCACACGTGACCACTTGAGGCAATCCTGTTGACAGATAAGAGGTTGTAGAAGGTTCTAATCTACAATCAAGCTCAAGATCTTCTATCGAAAACTTTTACGAACATTCTTTACGAAACCGCTAATTATTCTTTCTCCCTTTTCCGCTTTACGCTATTGACGCAAACCTTTTACTGACTGCATGCCTAGAAGAGGCTCACTTCAAATTCGTGATTTAACCGGAAATGAACGCACTTGTACGCCTTAGAATGAACTTAAATTCTTGACACTTCAAACGAATAAGTCATCAGGAGCAGGAGTACTGTAATTTTTCGTCGATTCTATAGCCAGAGGATGCATTTATAAGGCGTCAAATCACTCACCTAATTTTCTAACTACAGTTTTCTAACTACATTTTTCATATTTGAACGGTTTGTCACTCACTGGGGTGTCCATGTCAGGTAGCAGGGGGTGCTCCCATCGACTCTCCCCAGTCACTGAGTTGAAGTAGTACAATCTGCCGCTGTGAGTATTGGACGAACACAAGCTCCAGTTGTCCGGTAGACTGGATTCGAACCTTCGTCGAGCTTCCAAGTCATCGTTGAATTCCACTTCCATTTCGTAATCTGACTAAAAAAAAAAAGAGGAGGAGTAGTGAGACTCTTTAACAACAATAAAAATAGCGCTAGTGGACTTTACTCGTCATAACTAATATTGTGATCTTCTAAAACAATCGCAAAATGTACAACTGTTGTTAAGACATTGAACAATATCAAGAGATATGTAAATTGTCTTGACAATATACATGTATCTAGAATCTTTATAGTTGTGTACAAAAATACGTCAATACTTTGTAATGTGTGCTTCGCATTCTACAGAATTGTGTCAACGTTGAACGCGTGTTGTTGATGTTGTAGTTGTTTCAGTCTATTTGTTACTTCATATCATGTCAGGTCGAGTAACAGAGTAGTTTCAGGTTTAAAAACTTCGCTCAAAGACATCCACATGCCGCAGGCCACCGTTAAGTGTCCTTATACTCCGACTCAAGACGCAGAGGACCTCCCCCCCTCCCTCTATTAAAAAAATTCTCATCTCTATCAGATTAAACTACGGAGAAAACTTAACTGGTGATAACTCAAACTTTGTTACCACAAGTATTCATTTTAATATTTATACAGTATGCTTTGCAACTATTCACCGAAGTAGAGGTGGCCAGTGATGGATATTTACCGCTAACCACCGACACTAAGGTAAATAGTTGTTTTAGTATATACTATAGTACAGCACAAAAAGATAATTCTAAATCATTTATTCTTCCAACGATTTCAATGTTTTTGGGCGCAAATCCCGCGCGAGTTGCTCAGAGGTGAATCGCAATGGATATATATATATATTCGGAGTTGGAGTAGCCAATCAGAGCGCTATGCACTGTTTTAGTGTATACTAAATATGAATATTCCGGTGTACTTGGTAGCTGGTGGAACACATATAATGTAACGCAATTGTCGTGTCTTGGACTAAGCTTCTCCGCGGTAACCCAAAATGTAACCAAAAGTGGCAACTGTAAACTCCTTCAATGTTTACTTTTAGTCTGTCAGCTTTTGTTCTGTATCACATTGGTAACTGATAGCCTTTAAGCTAGAATCAAGCTTAATGGTTTTTCTTCCCTTGTCATGCTACTTCATCCTAATTTTTCAATTAATATTTCAACTAGGAAAGTGGTTTGTCATTTTCAAACACGTTTATGTTTGCACGAGTATCATTGAATAGATATTTCATCCATCTTTTTTTCAAACTATGCGCTTAAAATCGTACGACCTCGATTAGATCCACGCCGTTCGATGAGATAGTAATGGCAACCCGTTGTAATCAAAACTACCATACAACTACAATATAACTCAAACGCAGTAAAAATTCCCGCATGTTCAGTAGTTAAACTGATGTGAAAAAAAATCTTTTTTAGGTGGCATGCCTTTGTTTTCTCCCACAGTTAAAGAAACTTTACATTTGAACCACTTACAATGCCAGGATTTGCGTGAAGTTGAAATTTGTAGTGAATTCCCAACTGCATACGCTACTTTCTCCTGTCGATGCTGAGTGATAAGGGAATGCAAACAACAGCTACTTAACTGAGGAATCTTTCGGAAAGACATACCTGAAGGTCTGTTAGGAAATAATGTACGCCATGTACTCTGATTTAACGGAATTTATCTGCAACGGTTTTGATGAATTCCATGGTAGTCGCTTAACTGATTTTAATAAGACTAACAGAGCTGAATTAAAATCAGTTTGAATGCATAAGTGTCAAATTCATGTTACTTTTTGACAGCAGGAAACAGCTATTCTTTGTATTCAATAGATGAAACTAGAATTAGGGAAAGATAATAACATTTGTTGATCGTTTTTCAGCCGATTATATAAACAGCTTGTCTCGTTGTGGAAAAGCTTTGTTTCGATTTTCAGACAAATTTTACGTTCTCATCTAAGTCGCTTTTTTCTCAGACGAGTATAATTGGTTAAAGTTTTTCGTCCACAGCTTAAGTCTTGTAATTAAGTTCCTTTTCCCTACAGACAATAAAATAATCAACAAAACGACAATGCTTTGAACAATTTATTCCTTTGTTTAAGGGATTAAGCCACTTAAGAATATTATTCACGGCGTGGCTCCAAAAGACATCAGCAAACCGTTCGTCGTCACGCTAGCTTGAGCACGAACAGTAGAAGTGTTAGGAGCCCAACGACGGAGCCTATGGCGGTTTCTTGAACAGGTTGCTACCAACATCCCCGTGGGAATAGGAGGGGGTAGCTCGTGTGCCCCCCTTCTATTTTATTGGGTAAAAGGAAGAAGATAAATGCACGTCTCACCTCTCGTGCGCTATTCACGCTTCCTTTGCGCTTACCTGACTAACTGCGCTCGCCTGAGCAACAAAATTCAACGACGCCTGTCCCAAAGCCTATTCCCTGAGTTAGCCTACCACGCAAACTAAATCTACCCTTCCTCGAGTAAAAAAATAATCCTAGCAGGTGAACTCCAATTTAAGCAATTGCAGAAAACAAGCTAGGAAAAGTTCAGGCTTCAACAGGATTCGAACCTAGGCCCTTTGTCGTGAATGTAGCAAAGAAGACGAAGGATGAATCTTTTTCAGGTGTCTTTTCTTTTCTTAAATTGCAGCTCACCTGCGAGGATAATTTCTTCACTTGAATTTCATCCGCTGATCAAAATGCGTTTTACTTCATTAAAATTGCAACATATCCTTACTATAAAGTGTATCGGCGTTCCGCGAGAATCTGGCGTGTGGGTGACGTCATTGTCATCTGTGATGCATATAAATGGCGTTGGGGAGTCTATCTGAGCAAGAATGTCAAAAGAAAGATCGGGAATGGACGAGGCATCCGAATCTTCAGTGTTTAAGTCATCTAAACTAAAAACAAATCAATAGCATGATAAACGACAATTACAGATGTTTTCAGGGTATACAGAACGTAGATAACTGAAATTTAAACAAGAGGCAAAATACGAGTATTGTAAAGAACCAAAAGAGGAAAAAGAGTGTTTCCATGGGGTTCGGATGCGTAATGGAGTGAGTTTTCTTCTGGATATATGTCCAAGTTCTTAAAGAGCACGAACAGAGACTACAGTAGGGGGAGAAACAGCAACTGTGTTCTAGGGTCCCCAAGAATTTGACGATTTTGAGAAATGTGAAATATTTTAGAATAGATATAACCTGAAATTATATGTAGGAATTATCAAGTTTTTTTTAAAGTGATATACACCTTTAAAGCGGATCAGAGATGTTGCTAGGAAAGTGGCGTCCTTTGGAGTAAACGCACGTGACAACATAAACCAAAGTCGATCCGAAAGCTTACTTAATAAAAAGAGAAACAGGAGGATTTTTGATTTTAGAAACGTACTACACAGTTTTCGTTAATGCATACAGTCTGTTTACGTAGTTGTCGCCTATGAATGATTAAAATTGACAACTTTAAGGTCATCGATCTTTTAAGGAATCGTACTGAGTATTGTTTTACATAAGATAATCGATTTTATCTCATCTTCGTCTGACATTCTATGGTAACTAACGTCGATGAGGCGCATTATGGTACCTTTTGTAATGTTTAGAACTTAGCGCGCTCTTATTCTAGAACAGCTTGAGCACCAAAGCACAGGAGTAACATAGTTTACGTCATACAGAGAAGAGAGACAGATTGCACATAACCTAACGAGCTTATTTCGCGACGTCCTTAAAAAGTGCCTCGATCAAAGAAGTCACAATGTTATTTCATAATTTTGATTTGAGGGAAAAGTGCCTTTTGACCAAAAACGAGGAGATCTGTGAAAAATGTGAAGAGTTAGGAAGATTAAAATGAAAGAACGGTTGGGGAGCGACTTCGACAGGCTTGCAAACCACACAATCTGGAATAATCTTAAGTGTTTCGGTCTGTCTTTTGAGTGATTCTTCCGGCTGACCATTCAGAAAGTCACTGAATGACGAAGAACTTACTAGAATTTTGAATTTCAGATCTAAACTTACCTTAACTCAAGTAGAGACATCTATACGCTGTAAAGTGAGGTGATCAAGTGGTTGTGTTTATGAAGACGAATCACTCCGGGTCAATTTTGAATACCAACACATTCGCCGCAGCAGTCTTAATTGACTACACTTAGCGACAGTCATTTAAAGACAATCTGCAAATCCTTTTGCAAACATTACACATTAAAAAACGGCCATTAGCAGCGAATGTGGGAAAGCTGCAATTTGGAGGCCGGTAATAATGTCACACAAATCATAACATTGTGTGTTGTATTGTGAAATACGATCTTAAGACCGCACGCTATGGTCTTCCTTTTGATCAACAAGACCGCACGCTATGATCTTCCTTGCGTTGAAGACATTTCCATAATTACCTCCGCCTTTTTATTTCTTCTTTGGGCTGCTGATGAAAAAAACATTCTTTGTTTTACATGGCTCTTAAAGATAAAATGCAATGTAACGCCTAGCCTGCCCATCAGGCGCCGTATTTTCCTTGATTTTACTCTTTTGTTTATTTATTTTTATATTTTTGCATCATTAATTTAGTCCAACAGAGCATGCAGAGGTGAACATGGCCACAGTGCTATAGCTCAGTGTCCCAATGTAGGCTGAAACAGTGGAAATACCAATATGATAAGTTGGTGCATTAAAAGTGATTCAGGAATAGAAGGCCGGATGACAGTGAGGGACCAGAACAGCGGAAGAATTTTGTTTTTCGGTTCAAGGGCGTCTTAGAATTGAAGTTTGCCTGCCAAACAGGTGTCACTTGTTTGTCGCTTTTCAGGCGAGCGCGCAGAGTGGATCACACGCGAGAGTAGGAGCGCTCGCCTCGTACTTGCGTTCACTCGACTGTGAAGCGCAAAAAGATTACATTGCTGTTCTGCAGCCTTGTAAACGGCAACGCATGTACTGCACTATAAGATTGCCGGTGGCTCACGACTTACCACTCCTCCCCCCCTAATATCTTGTCGCTCTCAAGTAGCGTTACATGGCGAAAACTGTGGCTTACTTAAAGATATTGAAAACACTTTGGTGCAAGGGGCATCGAAATGCTTTCGAAAGTTAGGGGGAGTGAACACAACAACAATTATACGTGAACATTTCATGTATTTTAAAATCTGATAACAAATAGTACAACAAATAAAAAAAATAAAAAAGTACAAACGATTAAAAAACGAGAATAGTGATCAAATCATGCTACCTTTGAATAGTTTGAAAGAGTGTATATGATGCAAGTTTTGCTGACCCTTTCACTCACAAGGTCTGAAAAACATTAACCGAACTATCTGCCATCAGCTCAAGACAAGGGCGTAGCTGGGGGAGGGGGGGTTCCTGAGAACCTCACCCCCTTCCCCTTTATAAGCTTCTTCTTTTTCTAACTGAAGCAAAACAAGACATGACAATACTCTCTCAAGTCGGAAACCCTCGGCTTAAAACGTTGTCGGAAACTAAACTCTAAGTCATTAAATTACATTACTTTTCAATATAAAAAGTATTTAACTTTGTTAAATATCTATAATCCTTTCATATCTAGGTACTTCGATGAAAAACTGACAATTGAATTTGCTTTCATGAAAATTTCCGAAGTAAATAACGATGCCTACGTATAAATTTTATAAAAATTTAAATAAAAAACATATAATCAATCATATTTAACGTGATTTTCTATGAACATTCAGTGGAACCTTAAATTTTATCCTATTGACAGATTGTAAACGGCCTCACCGATTCGGCTCATTTTCTAAGTTACACAACTCCAAAAGTTTCGAGTTTTAAACAAACTGTGGCCATGAGATGAGGCTATAAAATTAACCTTACCAATGAAATGGAAAGCTGACCAGTTTTACTTCTTTCAGGAAACAAAAATAATTTCAAGAAAATCTTTCAGCCATTGAATTTACTTTCTCGTGCATTGTCTAAAAATTAAACGTTGTCCAGCAACTGACAAAGTTTATCAAAGGAATTTTCTTTTTCTTTCATTCAAAACTGAGCCAAAAATTAGAATTTTTGTAATTTTGTGGTACAGGCAGTTCGTCACGCACCACTGACAACTCGCGTAGACTCTTTATTGATGACCGTCAAGGAGAACACAGTGGTCAAACTTAAGGCATGCGGAAAGGGCATGTGCGAAGGGATCAAAGGAAACAAAAGCAGGAAAAAAAGGAAAATTCGAGATTTTTCGAACACAAAGCTTATTCAATTACAACCATCCTGTTGATTTATCACTGATTCTGTTTTGGGCTTTTACCAAAAAAGTGATACGCTTCCAAAACACGGTGAGTTACCGGCCTGAGTGGTTGTTTGTAACTCGTGCTGGAAAACTTAGTCCTGACAGCCCTTAAAGTGCGCCAACTAGTCATCACAACTTTGGCACATACGCAGACGTTTCACCGCTGTGTTGTCAAGGGTTAAGAACCACAGGGTTCTTAGTGCCCTTACGTTAGATAACTTGCGAGCAAAGCACTTCCAACGAGCTGACCTAAAAGAAGAGCGAAAAATCACATGGGTTTATTAGTCATCTTCCGCCTCCATTGCCTCGGCCTTCAAGGTGATGTGTTTCTGGAATGCAGGCTTGTAATCTGCGAAGTCGACATCTGTGGTAAAACGCATCCGACGAACTTCTCTTCCACGTAGAAGATCATCCTATAAAGCCAATCAAACGAAACATTCTTTAAGTAGAACCAGTGAAACATTCTTGGGAAAGCTGGCAAAAGAGAAACTCCATTCAAACGAGTAAATAAATTAACGACTAACTGAAAAATGAAAAACGAAAAGGGGCGGTATTAATAGATGGCCCTCTTCAAAAGCAGAGTTTTACGACCTGAAAGCCACCTATATCAACACCGTAGCTAAACAGAAAAGACTTATATATACAACAAAATCATCTTTGCTGGTCGGGTTGTTTATTCAGTATGGGAACACCTCTATTGAAGTTATTTTTCTGTACGTTCGTCTTTTTTCGTCCTCTCAGTTTTCGGTTGATTTGCACAAAACTATGACCAAAAATCCCCATGTTTTACTTACTGTGGTTGGCTGCGTTATCCATGCTCTCCGAGGAGTGTACACGATTGGCTGAGGTTTCTCGTTGATGATTCCTAGAGCTGAGGCTGCTCGCAACACTGACGATTTCCGTACTAAAGACGCGCCAGTCGCTGGTGCTGTAGATGGAGGCTGCAGAGAGTAAAAAGAAAAAATGAGAGGTTACTCTCTGAAAGATACCAAGATGTCTCTCTTGCTGTAATTCCCATTGAAGGCAAGCTCGTCTTACCTCTTCTTGTTTTTTGTCCGGGGTGTTCTTCACACTGGGCATGTGTGTCTTTGAAGGGGCCGCTGACTTGGCGCCTTTCTTGCGCGGGCTTCCTCCGCCTGTATTACAAATTATATAATAAGCTGAGTTACATATGCATTTTTAATTGGTTTTCACCTCTGATCTTCCTAACGACAGACACATTGATGAAGTCACTGTTAACAACATTTTTTCTTTGTTTTAAATATTAAAACAAACAGATTCCATGTTGCCGTGCATCAGGAGCCCCTATGTGCATTTATTTAGTAATAGATCACAGGAGACGTCAAAATTTGGAAATATCAGTAACAAACTTGGCTGCGTCTCGTGACGGTACCACTTTTATCTTTCGTTCCTACTACATTAAAGGTCACTTTTGATGCCGATGAAATCAAGTTCTCTTTGATAACTACCCTCAGAAAAAGCTTAAAATAAATGTTTCTCAGCTTGTTATTGCATGAGATAAGTTCCCTAAAGTAATCCTTCCTTGCTTGAATAATAGTTTACGTAAATCTTCTAACGTGTCGTCCGTAGATTAGGCACCGGATGTGACAGAAATTTCTCTGCATACAGAGCTCGCCTTTTAGCTGGACTACAGCATTCCAACGTTCCAACGAGTGTCGAGGACACAAGGAGGTGTAATCACTGGGATGCCAGAACAGATGGAGAACATGATTAGGTGTAATTAGGTAGATGAAAATAGGGAATAGTACTATAACCCGCATGAGCTTTATTCTAGAATATACCATCCAAAGAATGACACCGCGATTCAATAACCTATCAGCTACACCAACAGATTATGCAAATGTCCTTCGTTCGCCAGTTACGTTAATTATCAACATATCCTCCCTTTAGACTAAACTTCAATTCGAAAAACTAAGCTTAGAAACTAAAACGATAAAGCAAATAACTTGATTACATAACATAAAAAACGCAGAGAGGCAAGACGTAACCAAAATTCAGTGAAATTTTATTCAGTTGTGCATAGTTATTCACATATCACAATATATTACTTGAATTTGGAAAAATATCATGCTACTTTGTTAAAATACAAGTCGTATCCACATTTATTCCATCGCAATTACACTAACCGTGCATATACGGTAATCGATGTTTGACATGACTTTCTACCAATCAAAGGATATTCCTTGCATATTTTCCTACAGAAAGTTTCTCCAACTCCACACATTGATATTGTCGTCTGAAATAAACTACTATTTAAAGATTCACGACACGCAGTTCCCTTGAATTAGTCTTCCAACGAATTAGACTTCATTTGGTATGAGTTTGCGCAAAGTGCCTAAATGGCATTTTGTTCCCACTCCTACCCATCATCACCACCATCGTCATCGTCGTCCCCAGGTCCTTCGTTGCCATCGTTTCCGTCGTTACCAAGCCCCTCTGCGTCACTAGATTGCGCGTTAGACTTGGGTCGGGATGCAAATTTTCCTGATGAAGAGAGACATGGACATGCGTCACAGGTACGTCTAGGTAGGCTCAGTGCGCTTCATCCACATTGGCTAGTCGTCTTCGTGAGCGATTTGGAAGCCGCCTTGTTGGAGATCGTTTCAAGGATTGAAAGTTTGTGATTTTTTAAAGAACTTTGAGAGAGGTGTGATACCCAAATGGCGAAACAAAATTGTATTTTGTCTTGCATTCAAGAGTTTGAGAGAGATGAAGGAAAGGACAGCGAAGCAGCGAACTTTTGTGACGACAAAACAAAGCGGATGAAACAGCACACATATGACAACATTGAATAATAGTTTATGAAAATGCAGTGCTGGGCTCACAGCGCTTTCATGTTCTCATACTCATCATGTTTAAAAAATAATGTCGCGCAACATAAGAAGATGCATTCAGGCAAAAATTAGGAAATACCGAAAGGCATTGATCAATTAACATAACACGGAGCACATGCATTTATCCTATAATGTTGCATATACACCGCTATCAACACTGTCTCTTCCATGAAGATGCTCGTCCCAAAAGGCCCTCTTAGAACTTAAAGAAAGACCTCGATGACAAAGGTACATAGAGATAGAAGAGGCGGGACTCGGAGCACGGCTGAAATCCTCATCCGAGCCACCCGTAGAAAAAGTCTTTCGAGAGAGTTTAAGGTCACACAGAGAGAAGATAGGAAAGCCTTGAAAGATAGAAAAGATACAAATTGAAACGTTAAATATTTTTCATCATGGACGCAAGAAAGAGTTAAGTGGTGCAAAGAAAATCAGAAAAAGAATAATGAATTTCTGTTAGGTTAAAGTAACAAAAAGGCTTAGTGGAAACGGACTAGCAAGAAGGAATTGCATGAAATCCAAAGACAGGTTAAAACGAGTTGTTGTATTAGTTCACGTGCCCACCAGGAAAGATATAGACAAGACCTTGTTATTGTAACTCTTAGCAAACCTCAAAAGTTGCGAACACTGTGCTGCTGCTGTTGTTGTTGTTGCTGTTTCTATTGTTGTTGTGGTTGTTGTTGTACTGTTTATTACATTCGTGAGGATTAGTCGCACTTATGACCAGGTTTAAATGCAATGAATGTACCTACTAGGTTTTCAATTCATTCATATCTGACATAATTACGAGGGTTTCAGTAAAATCCTATTGACGAGGACACTTTAAGATGTTAATTACATAGAAAATGAAACTCATCAGCGATCAGTCCTGGCCACAGCTCAGTTAAAATTCGGCAAAGTACCCCCGAAATCAAATTAGTGAATTTAAGACTGACGTTTAAGCCAACGGCACCAGCAAACGGAAGAAATAAACTTTCCTCTTGCTCAATAAACCAGAAGAAAAATTGCAAGGAACCTCTCGTTGAAAGCAATTACAAGTACTTTAACTAACTGAACAAACCACTGGAGCTTAGGAAACAAAACTTGAACGCAACTATCCAAATCGCTAGTTTTAGGCTATTGATACTCTTTTGACTGTTTAACTCCCAAGATCTGATTGTCAAATCTCCCCTTTAGCCTTTACACACTTCTTTGTATGTCAGTTATAGGAATCTGGGGTCAGATCAAGATGACAACTCCTACCTAATAAGTTTGAATATTCTCATTGCCTATTTGCTAAATAATGTGTGGATACTTTAAGGAGGAGTTACATGTTAACTACTTCTAGGAGCTAGAGGGTTAACGTACAGCTTTACTGATACAATACATACGTTTCTTCTTATCCACGGGTGGCGGAATTTCGTCCCATCGTTTCTGTACTATAGCTACAACACGAGGATCTGCGTAGGCTTTGGCGACATCCAGCGCTGTATGTCCCTTCTTATTTTCCAGCTGAACTTTTGCTCTGAAGAACAAACGAAAATAGAACCTTGTAGGATAAGGAATCATAACCCAACATTTTTCAGCGTCACTGAGATTTCTTCCGTTTTCTCGTGTCCAGTCCTCGCTACTCCCGAAAAGGAAGAAGAGGCTGAGCGCCAGCTTATTGCTTGAACAGCGGCTGGTAATCGAGCCAACGATTTGAATTGATCATAAAGGTCACTGGGTCTTCAGAAATTCATTGGTTTTTGTAAAAAAATCTTAATTGCTGGCAAGTTTTACTTGAATGCGGGCGTGAGGAACCCAAACGTTTTGGTGTTGGCGATAATCTAGCAAATGAAGCACTCGACAAATAAAACATTCGAAATCTTTTTTCCCCGTGTTTCAAGCGGCTTCAACCACTGTGGGGCTGTGTGACCAAGCTAACAACCTTTTCACAAAATTTCAATTTTGATGTCTAAAGCAAAGCCACTATACAAACCCTTTAGAAATTAGCAGTTCCACGACAGCCTCTCTGGAACTCTCAATAGCCCTCATTAAAGGTGTCCCGCCATTGATGGTCTGCGCGTCCATTTCTGCTCCGTTTTCTAGCAGAAACTGCACCAGGTCAACTTGCCCTGAGTGGCAGGCATGGTGCAAAGGAGTCCATTTGAAATTATCTCGTGCATTGATGTCTGCCCTGGAAAACAAAACAAAGGGTTTGGATAGGTGCACTGTAAATTGATAATATATAACAACAAAATACTGCGTTGTTAGAGATCGTTCTAGTACGGCTGGTTTTCGCTATCTTTGGAGTCGAAGGCAAAGACGATATCAGAGGCGCAGAGCGACGCGATCCGACTTAATGGGAAGCAGAGTACAGATGCTGCTTGTGAGTCTGTCGCTTGTGATATGAGAAAAAAAACTTTCATCAAAATGGTATATGAAATTTCCAAATTGACTAATTTGGCTCAAATATTCTTCTTAATACCTAGTTTTCTCTAGGGCTAGACTTGTTCATTCGGTCAGATCTACGCATATTGATACACACTTAAAACCAAATTACAGTGTACACCACTTCAGTTAACTCACCCAGTCTGTAATAAGTATGCCGCTACTTCGATGTTTCCATGTGCACAAGCTGCCATCAGCGGAGTCTTGTAGTATTTGTCACGTTGGTCTACTGAGACTCCTCGGGCAAAAGCTGATTTTAACGTCTCTAAGTCTCCTACTTTAGCAGCATCGCTAATGTTCATGTAAGTAACATCTAAAACATGTAGGTGAACAGAAAAGGAAACATATACTACTTAACGAAACGCACCAAAAACGCATTTGGATTGATTGTCGCAAACTCACAGCCATTGTAATCAAAACTGCCAATCCGAGAAAAATACCACAAGACATCGACACGATGAAGAACTCAAAGTAAAGTGAGGTGGTTCAGCGATTTTCCATGAAAACAGAAACATTCTAAACTTGATTACTGCTATATCTTAATTCGTAATTAACAAATTATTGCATTTTTTTATGTTACTGATCAAGACCCCTCTTATTAAATGAGGATTTTGAAAGAGTTTGTGACTGAATGATATTCTCGTTGGACGGTGAATCAAATTTCCTGCACGTAATTGTGAATTGTAGTATTGACTTTTTTCCCGATAAACGCTTGAAAAAAATTGCCAGAACCGTGACATCTTTCAATAATGAGAGAATCACGAGGCGTTTCCAACGTTAGTTCTTTCGTTCGTTTCCCCTCTCACTCAGGGTGTCCGAAAAGAGTTTTCGCTGGTTTATTGTTCGATCAGGAACAAAGAGAACATACATGAACAAAAGTTTTTACGTCTGTTGGTTGCTTGTCAAGGCACTCTGTCATTATAAAAACAAAACAAAAACATACGCACTCACTGCGATTGTCTCCCGAAAAAAAAAGACAGTACTCCGCTTTTCAATCGTCATACCTAGTCCGTACTAACCTGGGAAGTTAAGGTACCAGGCAGAATCATCTTGAATAGGATGCGATGGCGGATTATCACGATCAAATCTTGTGTTGTCTGTGAAGTGCTGAAAAATTAAAAATTTGACGCAGAAGCGTTCGAGAAGATGTCTAAAAAAAATCCAATGGTTATGTATACCATCCTTGGTGTACATACTATTATCACAGGTCAAAAAAATTCGATTCTATTTAAGGAAAAAATGACACATCAGAAGTTCGAACATGTTTCTTTTGTTTGACAAATTATTTACGGTACTTTTTCTATTTGTGATTTAAGAAAGATGAAGACGCCTCTGAAAAAACGCCGTATCAAAAACGTTAAAATTCTAATAAACGCCGCGCCTTCAATCGGGAAATTCGGTATATAAAAGCTTTAAAGTACATTTTTGTTGCAAATACTTACCACATATCTCTCTACATAGTCTGAGGGGGGGCCACCATGTTTTGTCCGGGGGCCATCAGGTGCTGTACAAATCGGGATGGGTATTTTTGTTTTTCCCTGAGAACAGACGGTAAATTAGTTTTGGATTAGCCAGGGAATTTAAAAGCCTCTACCAGATGTATAATACTTCTGTAGGTTCGTGATAACTTTATGATTAAAATAAATTCCAGATTCTCGAAGAAACTTTTTAAAGACATGTTTCTGCCTGTTAAAATGGCGATAATAAGGTTCACAACATGGAGGACAAAATTACTGAATGCTTATTGGCTGAGACAGAGGGCATTTTTCCTTAATCTGGGTAATTGCCCTGGGAAAAAAATATCTGAAATGGAAAACATTAAAAAACTCTTAACTTTACCGAATTTCAGTGAAGACGAACGTTCTTCAGCAGGGCTGGTTCATTGCTTTAGTACTGATTCCGGCGTGAGTTTTACAGTTCATTGACACTAACACAACACTGAAATGGCTTCCTCAGAAATTGCGAATAAGCGTGCGTTTTGAACCTTATTAATAGTGACTTTCTTAAAAGAAGAAAATTTTACCCTTTACATCAGAAACAAGTAATCGCATGTTTCCTCGTAAAATTACGGATTAATACCGCTTTTTTCCACAAGTTGCGTGAATTTCCTTCGTCGCTGCGCGACTCGGAAAATTTCTGCAACTTCTGAAAACGCGCGTGATATCAATCCTTAACGTTACTCGACCTCCGAATAACTAAACAAATTTCATATATGATGTTGAAAGAGAGATGACCTGGGTATCGTCATGAAGTATGGCAGATGTCTACGACAACCATCGGATTGAACTGTTCCTAAGTATGATTAGAATTACAAGTATTATGCATTGTAATACTTTTATACTTTTACTTTAAAATTACCTTCTTCTTCTTTCCTTTCTTTCCACCTTTTTTCTTTTTTTTCTGTGTAAAGTGAATGAAGTCAAAATAAATACTGACATGTAGCATTCAAAAAAAATATATACTTTTCATTATTTTCAGTCTAAGGAAGGTTGGATGCACGAGTTTGCTGTGGAATACTAAGTCCATATCCGCTATAAAAATCAAATCCCAGTGAGAAAAAAATTATTTCAATTAATGATGACATTACCTTTCCGAGGACAACCATGAATTGCTGCATAAGAAGAGAAAGAGGTCAGTTAGTTTTGTGTTTCATTAACTTTACTCAGATGTACAGTATGTTCATAACATGTTACTTTGCTAGCCTAATACTGTTATCTTCACCGCAATGTAACCTTCAAGCATGTATTGGAAGCTTACTGAAAATAGTTCAGGAAAAATAGTTCAATAGGCCAAGCTAAAAAGGGGAAGGGGGGAAGTAGTTGAATACCAGAGAAAGGATACACCCATTTTTTTCCCATGAGAAACCAAGCTCCCTTAAAATCAAAAACTTTGATATTATATACCTAAAACTGCCAAAACATGTGACTTGTGTCTCTCAAAAATAACAAAACTTGATAAAAAATTGTCTGGTGATATAAAACTTGACTAACTGACCCCAGATACCAGGATACCCAAAACCCCTGGCGAGACCCGTTTGTTTATGATGGCAAGCTGTGAAAACATCAGCCAAGTCTGTAGCAAGCTATTGCTCTGTTAAGCAAAGGTGCAGGCAACCTTCACCCCTCCTTCCCTAAGAGCCTACAACACATTTACTGGGATTCATACCCTTTTTCAGAAAAACATTCAAGGACTTTTGCAGGACTCAGATTAATTTTCCTTTCAGACTCCAAATTTCACCTTAAACCTTTCATTCCCGTGATTTCAAAATCAATTCTCCTTAGGATCTACATACATTTCTAATGACGTAAATTCTGAAAACTTTACTGCTTGAGTTAAGCAGATTTTCAGGACTTTCTAGGAACTATAGTCTTTTCCAGGACTTGCCAGTCCTGGAAAATGTCAAAATAAAATTCCAGGACTTTCCACGTTTTACATATACGGAGCCTGACTTGCATCGGCCACATCAGTCCAAACGTATTGTTAACAAAGCCAAACCATCTCTAATGATAGACTTAAGGAGATATAGGACATTTCTGATGAAAAATTTCCTTCTAGTGGAAATCAATATGCAATGCAATTTTTTGTTTTAAGTGTCAGTCATGTACCAGCAAAAGTGTTAGTAAAGAAATAAACATTGCAAAACTCAAAAGGGAAAGGAACAGTAACTCTGTAAAACTGGAAAATGATATGACAAGGTAGGTTGTTCCATACCTTACTAATAAATTTTTTACAAGTGATAAACAGTGGATAATCTACAGCATCTTCTTTGTTTGGGTCATGCATCTGTGCTAATTTATTCAAATCTTCTACATCTACTGGGCAATCTGTGGACCAAAGAGAGAGTACAATTTTTATTCACACATATCAATTTAAAATATCTGTTACAGTACTGAAATTATTATGAAAATCTGGGAAATTTCTATGCAACATGATACTTGTTCTTGTAGCAAAATACTGAGATCATTTTCTTCTCTTTTATGGTTTAATATATCTAGACTTCAAATTCATCTCAATGTACAACATTGGACCAATATTGCAAGGATTCCTACATGTACAATTCTTACAATTTCTAAGATTAAGGATACATTGTACATGTTAAAGCACATTCCTAAACTTACTTATTGTCTGCAGACACATTACAAAGTTATCCTTGGTAATTTTTCCTTTTCTACTTCCATCCTCTTCCTCTGGATCAAACTGATAACAAATGTTCAAGACTTTTTCTTCGTGTTCTTGGATCCAGTCATAAAGCTGTTGAAGACAAGTGCAGAAAATTGATCTGAGTACTGAATTTCAGCCAATAACTAATTAGAATGATATACTGTTGTGAAAAACTTATAATTGTTATTTTCTCTTTTACATCCTATACATCCTTTCTTCCTAAACATCTCATCACACTTTCACAAAATTTCAGTAGTAAAAAATTAAGCTTACAAAAAAACCTAGCCAAGATTTCCAGTCTACTTGAAAGAATGCTTGTATAACATTAAACAAGGCTGGTTTTTGGCAACTGCATGTTTACATTAAGCTCACTTTAAATGCACTAATGAGCAAAATGAAATTTGAAGGAAAACATTTACCATTTTGGGATAAATTTCAAGAAAAGCATGACACTTGTTCTGTTTCAACCTTTTTGAGCAGCAAGAAAACTACAACATCACTTTTGTTTCAAACATCATTAATTGCTGGGGTTGGACAAAAACTAAGGACATTTTAAAAAATTAGTAGGCAAAAGTTAAAAGTTTGACAGCATTTCATGCTCAATTATTGTCCCATTTTTCTAAGGTAGACAAGCAAAAGTATTAGTGACTATAAACATACTCTGATGGCATATGGTTCAGAAGTTCTACTTCCTCCCTTAGACAGCTTTGCTGACTGTTTTTCAGCTTTACGACATTCCTTCAAAGCATCTTTGTGCTCATTATCCTTTGCCAGCAATCTTGGTGTCTTCCCTTCCTTGTTCTTTAACATTGATGGACAACCTGTGTAAGATGCATGTCAATCAGAGAATTTCTATGTTTCTATGTTTCATGCCTTTTTGATGTCTGTAATGTGACATTTTAAATAAATGTAAGGATCTTGAACTTCTGTACAAATAGTGAATGTAGCCTGGTTTACTCTTATTGGAAATGTAAGAAAATGTTTATTATGATTTAAAATGAACATCAGTCTTCAATAATTAATAACTTTTATGGGAAGACAAGAAAATCACAGTTCTTCAGGACATGTACCCAACTGTAAAACTTGAATTTGAATGAAACAAACCTAACATTTTTCCAATGGCCTTAACCTAATTGTACCAACAACCATTCAACCTGGATGTCCCTGACTTTTCTCTCACAATTTTGTCAATTTTCAAAAAAGTAGTCTAAAATGTTTTCAAAGGGGTTTGACTGACTAGCTACTTTTTTATTTTTTATTTCTTTCCATCTTTATTATAATAGATTTATAGGAACTACTAGAAGTATAGAAGTGCATTAGAAGAAATATCCACAAGAAAAAGAGAATATACAATACAGAAAATATTACAAATAGAGAATGACATGGCATAGTTAAGACTAATTAGGTGCCCTTTCAAGTGTAATTAACAAAGCTCATTTACTCTTCCCATAGATTTTACTTGAGTGTCATGTCACTATGTTCATCACTTGTACCAAAACCATACCCTGCTCTTGCTCACCTCTTTGAGACAAGAACTTGCATATTGGTCCAAATCCTTGTCGAGCTGCATAATGAAGAGGAGTGTTGCCATCTGATGCTACTTTACCCAAGTCTGCACCATAAGCTGCCAGCACTCTTATGACTTCAAAGTGACCATTTAAGGCAGCCCTGCATATAAAATAATGGAAATAAGGATCCTTTAATAAATTGCATGCAGGAAGCTTATTCCCATTTTTAAAATCTGCTGAAATATATTCTTATGAGGAAAGGTGCAAGGAGCATTCTCTTATCTCAACATTTACAGGTGAGCTGTCATATTCCGATTTTAGAAGTCTTCTTTTCACAAAAAAAGTGAAATATACCCTGGGTTTTTTTCATACATGTAATTTACTTCTTGAGATAATTATTCTATGTAAACAGCTTCAAAAACGTGATCTCACTATCAATTTATTTGTATGTACTTTCTTTATTTGAAGGACCTGCAAATTATTTGCCAACTCTGGATTCATGAGAAATTTACCAATCAGTTCCATACAACCCAAAAGTAGCCAGGAACTTGATTCAGGTGTGTGTTACAGAATTGGGTTTCAATATCTGTTGAAAATTTCATGTGGTGTTTGAAATGTTTCCATTTCACTCACTCATATTTCTTGAGATAATTATTCTATGTAAACAGCTTCAAAAACGTGATCTCACTATCAATTTATTTGTATGTACTTTCTTTATTTGAAGGACCTGCAAATTCATGAGAAATTTACCAATCAGTTCCATACAACCCAAAAGTAGCCAGGAACTTTAAATTCAGGTGTGTGTTACAGAATTAGGTTTCAATATCTGTTGAAAATTTCATGTGGTGTTTGAAATGTTTCCATTTCACTCAGTGTGTGACCATTGTACAGTGCACTGAGTGCTTCAGCCTAACCTGTGTGCTGAGTGATTGTTTTCACTGTCCAAAGCATCACAGTCTGCTCCAGCCTCCAATATTTCTCTCACACATGCCACACTTCCAGTGGCACTTGCTGCATGTAGAGCTGTCTGGCCAGTATTCTAATCCAAAGGACAATGCAAACGGTAAATGCATGTTTCCAAAAAAGCTGCATGTTTACAGATACTGACTTTACCTCTCAACAACTTAAGTACCAATTTTAATGTTTTGTTGTTTCACAAATTGAATCTACAGTCAGGTACATGTATAAGTTCATAGAACACAGTGGTGTACCTATATTCAAAATACATAAGGATATAAGTACCCTCCAAAACTAAGAAGTACCTTGATTTGAATTTGTACGGGAACATACATGTACATACATATCTTGTTGAAATTAAATTATTAAATCAGTTCAATAAACATTGATACTTGCAAAATGCAAAACTTGAAGTCAGTAACATACTGTGTGAGCTCCATTTGGGTCTGCCCCAGCAACAAGAAGTGCTTGCACAATGTTGTCCAGACCAGCCTCTGCAGCCACATACAATAAAGGTTGACCATCCTTACTCTAGCAAGCAAAAACATAAGGCATAGGTCTTAGATAATAAAACTAATCAACCCTTCAGTCTGAAAAGTCACAGGTATGGAGACAGGCTTGATAATTTATTTAAAAGAATCATAGTTATTCAGAGTAGTGAAATACAATAATAGTGAAGTGTGATGCTGTTACAGTGACTTCACATCACTGAAATGCACCGAGCAGAGCTTAATACAAAGCATAATGCTTCATGCAGCATCACAGATTTAAGTGTACACCAGAGATTTTGTGGTCAGTTAAGTATTCATCTTTTCAGTCTGTTATTCTTGCTTATGTTATTTTCATATTGACTGCCTGTCACATACATGGTTTCTTTCCAAAGATAGCAAACTGATTGCTGTTTGTTAGGAAGGGAGAAGGAAATCCTTGGCGACAAGGAAAAGTTTGACACTAGACTAGTACTTGTCACTAAAATTTGTATTTCGATCTGGAAAAAATTGTGGTTATTCAGGGAAGTGAAAAACAATAGCTCTGAAGTGTGATGATGTCACTTTGCATTACTGAAATGCACCAAGCAGAACTGAATAATAACTCATCACAACTAAGAATAATGCTTCATGCAACATGCACCCAACCTTATTGCCTAAAGAAGACAAGTAGCAGAGGTATGGTGTCACAGTATTGTCAGTACTGCAATCCACATCAGGGGTGATTATATAAGGGACAAAAAATATTTATCACTATCATAGTTCAACAATTGGGACATCAGCCTGCACTGTCTGTACTGTAAGTTCAGCATGCGCTTTGCAGAACCCACAAGCACGCCACTTCCTTTATACAAGTAGCATAATTGCTTACCACATAATTAACACTTGCACCATGTTTCAGTGCAATCTGGAGACATTCTAGATGACGTTTGGTTGGCTGGATACAATAAAACAAGATTCCTTTACCTTCAATATCCCTCACTAAAAGAAAAAAAAAAGACTTTGAAAGTGTACAAGCATGTAGGTACCACTGCACTCTGGGGCAAAAATTAACAAATAAATTCCATGTTGCCATTCATCTGTTCAGTAATAGATCACAAAATAATGATATCAATATGTGGCAAAAACAAAAAAGTGGCACATGAGGTGCAGCCAAGACTTTATGATAATTGGAGGGCTCAGAGCAAGAACGATCCCTTGATTTTTTGGCCATTTTTGAAAGTGTCCACATGCCAAAATTCAACAACTTCTGAACACTTTCAAAAATGACCGAAAAATCAAGGGATCGTTCTTGCTCTGAGTCCTCCAATTAATCCTGGTTTTGCCATCATGACTGTTGCTGCTTTTCAAAAATAGGATACTGAACAAATTTTTAAATGGTCCTTCCTCTTTGCACAGCAGTGCTCTCCTTTTCAGGCAGTAACAGATAACATTTACCACCTGTAGTACCTCTTATTACAGTTTAAAATCACTTGGAATTCTTGAAAATTCAACTTGTAAAAGGATTGCTTTACCAGTTTGAAAATTTATTTTAACCTGTCATGCTTTAAATAAGGGAGAACACTGGCACAAATGGGAGAGCCTAGAACACAACACTTAAAACCTACACTGGGCTTAAAACCAAGTACTGGTACATTGGAAAGAGTGCAGTGTAACCCTTATCACAAAAAAAGTCAACTGCCATTATGCTAATTCTGTTAGGTAAATAAAAAATCATAAATTTTCCTTACATGTCAAATCTGTATCTGCCTCTGTTAAGAGAGTCAAGGCCTGTGTGTGGCCAAACTCTGCTGCCCTCATGGCAGGAGTACGTCCCTTTAAGTCCACCATGTTGGGGCTTGCACCCAGACTAAGAAGAAATGAAATCATCTTCTCATTGTTTTTACATGCTGCCAGGTGAAGCCCTGTCTCTCCATTTTCAGGTTCTACAATTTGAACAAACAAACAAGGTTCAACAAAAAAAAAAAATTCCAAGCCAATAATGAATTGCAAGCTTCTTGACTTAAGTGTAGTTTTGTGGAGGTATCAGATTCACTCAGACAAAGGACTTAAATTCTATAAAACTTCTGCCTAAGAATCTCTCTACATTAGCCAATTAATTAACATTTATCACCTCAGTAAACAAAACTAAATTATTTTAGTGGAAGTGAGCTGAATTGAACATCCAGCCATTAGGTAGCTGGTCACTCTGGTCTATTGTAAGATTGTTCCAAGTCAGATCATTCCATACCCAGGTAACATTATTATCAACTGAGTTGATAACATAAATTGGCCACAGTAAAGAGTTTAAAAGCTGACATTTTGGACAATAACCCTTTGTCAGAGCTCAAAATGTCACCTTTTAAATTATTTACTGAGGCCAATTTAAGTTATTAACTCAGTTGATAATACTAAATTACCCTGTTATACTTTACCAGCGATGCAGCACCACAAACGTTAACCCACTTTATTTATATCATCACTGGTTATGTCATTCATTTAACCCTTTAGCACTCATGAGTGACCAAGACAGAATTTCCCCTTACAATATCAATACAATATCAACCAGACAAGTGATGAGAATAATTTGAGGATAATTAATTGATTCAATATTAAATTCTCTGAACTAACATTATAAGAATTGTATGGTTGACAGTAAGGAGAATTACAAACTTGATCTGGAAGTTAAAGGGTTAAACTGATGGATAGATGCACAGATTTCATAGAGTATTGGGCAGCAGAAAGAGTATAGTGTAACACAACAAAACTGTGTACTTTACGAGTATACCCCTTCCTCTAGAGCTATTTTTCCTGTAAAATCTGCAGAATTCTTTGATATTCACCACCTTATAACACCTGACTAAATCATGCTGTGAGAGAATAAGAGCTAACTCACGATAGTAAGTTTGGTTGATGTCAAAATTCACTGAAATAACTAAAACTTTATATAAATGATATAATTTTCACATGATATACATGTAGACTCTGCACTGATTTAATTTCCATAATTATTAAAGAGTGCTGTCAGTTTTCTTATTTTCTGACAGGTGAAAAAAAAAACTGACTCTGAATAATATGGCTCCCCCTATCACAGTGGCACATTGATGATGAACCTACCATTATGGCATGTAAACGTCAGTGAACCATAACCTTATGCCTCAAATATCCATGTTTGCCAAAAAGAACCCCACTAAACACTAAACAACAGCCTAACCCCGGGTTACAAAACATTGCAAGCCTCTTACAATATAGGTTACACGAGAGGGGCGTATTTAATCTTATCCAATTTATTGTCTATCAGTAGTGATAACTTTATACATTCAACCTCATGAACATCGCGTTGTACACTGCAAAGTTAGCGACGTAAATTCATATGTATGTGTATGTTTCAAAGTATTTTAAGAACATGCACATGAATTTAAAATTCGCCCTTATCGGAATTGCTACCCAGGCAGGCCTCAAGTTTGAATGCGTCTACTCTTAAACATATTTGAAATTTAATTCTGACTTGAAGTTACTAAACAATTTCCAATAAAACTATATGGTGTTGTTTATTAAATTTCGCGCCTTCTTATCATCATCAAATTGTTATGTTGCATAATTTGCTATGGCGACTGACAAGTACGAGTCGAATTTCCGAAACAGCCACTAAGTATTACAGACAACGAAATCTCTCTGCACTTACCAGAGTAGTTGATCAGATAGGGAACCCCGTGAGTTGTTAGTTTTTCAATCTGGTCCACATCCTCGAGTCGGACAGACTGAAGTAACTTTAGAACTTGAAGTTGTTCTAAACGGTCTTGTGCTATTGGCATTGTTCTCATTCGCCAAAATGCAGGAATTTTAGGTCCACTCTCCTTCGTTTCAAGGCTCAAATATCAATAGATTCCTTATCATTTATGAGTACTCTGCATGCTGTGGAAAATTCAACGCGAAATAGATAAATTTTTGAAGTTAAAAGGTCATCTTCCTGCTGAATATTGGACCAAACATAACTTGTCTCGCGTGTCGTTGTTAGGGAATCTCGAGGTTGGAGATAAGTTGATTCTGATTGGCCAATGCCAAGGTCCGCTGGTGAAGGGAACCTGGGAATGAATGCTAAATACGTCCATATTTTTTATTTACCCAGAATTCCTTTCAATCTCTTAGTCTTTCCAAAATGGCGGCAAATCCGTCTCACATTTGTTTGGAAACTTCCATGGTAAGTTCCTTTGCCTGAGTAGGAGACCCAAAATTTATGTAGAATTTACTACTTTTTCAGCTTCTTTTAAAGTGTTGTCTTCTTATGAACTCTGTTTAACACTGCCTAAAAGAACGGAATTGTGTCAAATTCGCTAATTCCGAATGAAAGAACGTGGTCTTTATCACCGAGTCAGTGACAGACTAAGAAGAGTTCTCTTTTCTGGATCGAAAGCTATAATCTCACAGTATTCATGCAAAAACTCTTTAGAACCCTCATTTTTTTTATATCTTTTATGATTTCTTGTTTCAGGGTGAGATTGAATGTGAACTTTATTGGAAGCAATCACCAAGAACATGTAAAAATTTTGCCGAACTGGTGAGTTCCCGTACCTCTTATAATATAAATTAATGTCAAGTACAAGTTAACTAACGCGAAATTAATGCTCTTTGATATGTACGAAAGTCACATCTGTGCTTTCCAGCACCCACTCAATTGAAAAAGTGTTCTGATTGTAATTCACTAGAATCAGCTAAGGTCCCCGTTTGTAACCAGTGGTTGCGTTCTGAATGCAAACCCAAGAGTGAATGCTTATTTCATAGCTTTTGTCATCGCTGAACATGCTGTTCTTGAAAACTGGTTCATTCATCTTGCCATTTATACAAAAACTGATAAGTTCTAATCACTTAATTTAACAGTGTTGTGTTACAGTATAATTACCTGTCACAACTATATCTTGTTCTGACTCGTATGCAAATTTTTAAGAGAAACAGGATTTGCTTTTTGTTTCGATATTTCTCAAATCATCAATCAATTTTCACCAAATTGCTCTAAAAAGGGAATGGAAAAATTAAATGCAGGAGACATGAAGTTCAAGTTTGTTTAAGACTTGCCAGTGTGTTCAATTAGGCAAAACAAATCATTCCGAGCGACGCAAAATGAAACTGTTTACATTCTGGTGCATAAACACTGAAGCAGGCACCAATTGCAATGAATAAAACAGATAATCATTCACAATCTTAAACAGTATATTTTCCTTCTGATCCTTATCGAAGGTGATTGAGGTAGGTTCGCAGTTTTGAAGAAACCATCACCTGCAATGCAAACACCAAATTGTTTACATTCTGTGACATAAACATCTGATGGAACATTGATTTCAATGAATTAATTGGGAAGCGTATATATAAGTGAGTGTTTGTTTCGTTACTTGTTCAGTGAGACACATGTTTCGATGTCTTGAGTGACATTTTCCTTTCCAGCTGATTCATCAACAACTCAAATAAAGCAAATCTACTGCTACTGCTGCTGCTTGTTATTCAATAAATTCACTTGTAGAAGATTATATGCATGTAAGTATTGACATGAGCATATTGGCTCATGATATAGTTATAAATTATGTGTTATTTCAGAAATAACATATACAATCACATCTGCACTTCCCATCAGTTTACAAGCATTATAACCCATGGGGGATGCTGGGAGAACATGATAAAAGTTTGTAAATCACAGGCCAAAGCTGAGTGATCAACAAACTTTTCTTCTGTTCTCCTAACATCCTGCGTGGGCTATTACAGCAGTAAACCTATAGAGAATGTGGTTTATTGCTTTTATAAAATAACTATAACAAGACAATCTTAATTTGATCCACTATTTGCAACTTCATTAAGTTAAATACAGAGGTAAATTTTAAATAAATAAGGGTGCAGGATATCCTAAGAAAAAGCATAAAGGCTTGTTAGAGTAAGATATCCTCAGTTCTTTTATAATAATATTATAACAATAAAATATCTAGGTCTGCAAGGCATACACATTCTTGTACACACACTATCACACTAAGATACATACACAAGCATGTGCTCCCACACAAATACTCCCAAAAGAAATACTAATGACCATTGGATAAGACATGGTGGAGATATTTATTAGGTTTAACTAATTAATACATAAATAATAACCTCTATTTGGTGCGAAAAATTACATATGGACATTTGTCTGTGGACATTATCTGTTCCAAGATGCAAAAACAATTTTTCACCAGCAAAGTTTGAGGGGAACTCTGAGCACTGAGAAGACTTAGAAGAAAAAATCTTGTCTTTTTAGAGAGCACTGATAAATTTTAATCAGCTAACTGTTTTCAGCAGAACCAAAGAAACTTCTTTTTCAGTGTTAGGTATGACCCTACAGGGGGTGCTAAATATATCACAATGGCCTCTCGAATATTTTTCTTGTGGAAAAATTTTATGGGTGGGCTTGGTAAATAACAGATATTTGGTGTAATCATAATTTGTGAGTTTGGTGGCTTTTAGACTACCATTTCTTTTGTTGTGCAACACATTACCACAGGTTTGGCATTGAACAACAAAGGCTCATAAGAGAATAATTTACTTTTGCCACACAAGTCTTGTAACATACACATACCTTTCATCATGTGCTTATTGATTCTAATTTGTGTAGTTGGCATATTCTTGAGCTGTGTTTTTTGTGGTAGTTGAAAATTTTATTTGCCAAAGCTAACCAGTGCTAAAGAAAATGCTATAGCAATCCATAGCAATTGCCAATTCCAATAAAATGTAAATGAAAATGAATAATCACCTGCAAATCAAAGGCACAATTTGGCTATTTTTCATACAACAAAGCTTTATATTTAATTGGTTTTAGTGACAACCTTTAAAAGTGATACAGAGGACAGTTACATCTGGTATTTTTCTCTTTTAAACTATTGCAAGATAATTTGTAAAATGAAGGTGTAGTACAACTTTTGAAGGTTCAGCATTGCATTGCACTCAAGTTGATAACATAGGTATGAAGAGTCTCATGTGCATCATTACCAAAGGCCAAATATTTTCCTGTCAGGCCTGACTTCACTCAGTCAATGAGCATGTTGTGTTTTGAGCATTTCTTCTCCTTTATCTTCCTTTCCACTTTCACCTTGCAGCTTTTGGGGTCATATGGCTTTTTGTGACCCAGTGCTCACACCATTACATGGGGCCCTCATTCAGGAATTTTATCTACAGTTTTTGAATAACAAGACACAATGGGCTGTTCATGTTATGTGATGAAAATACATTGTCCTGTCTCTATGGTTTCCTTATTGGAACCAAATGTCAATCCAGTGATATTGTCATAGCAGCAGCACACATTTTACTCAAATGCAATAGGGAAATGTTCCTAATAGTTCTTCCTTTTAATAAGTGTTCAATAAATATTAAGTAAATCACAGGACTGGTAGTTTAAAACAGTGTTCACTAACTTTAATAGCCATCTTTATCACAATCATCATCATTATCATTCTATTTAAGAAGCAAGTTTCAAAATTGCCAGTCTTTAAGGCTGCAGTAGACCTACAATTCACTAAAATGATGTATTGTACTGAATAAAATACTTTATCCTACATCACTTTAAAAAAAAAATTGATGTAAAGAGAAAAAATATATCTGTATTGGAAAATGTACAAGAAAGTATTTGTCTAAATGGTAAAAATTCTGTTGACACAGTAGCTATGAATGAGAAAACTCCTTTCTATTGGTCATTTGCACTAACAGTGGAACAACTTGTATCTATATGAAAAAAAAAATATCTACATATCTACATAAATATTATGAGAGGAAAAAAGGACGCAACTACATTTCCCGACAAGCCTGTTTCGTGAATCGCTTCACTCTTCAGGAAACAGGCTTGTCGGGAAATGTAGTTGCGTCCTTTTTTTCTATCATAATATTTATTCTGCTCTGCTTCAACGTATTGAGCACTGTTCCACGCGAAAATCGACTTGCAGACTTCCTACATATCTACACATCTACATATATATATATCTATATAGTAAAGTGAAAGCCCAATTCTTGGCAAGTACCCCCATACCTGCTGCTCTTCCCCAATTAATGATAGGATAGAGGATTTTTTTAGACTTTTCACAGGTGTAGGTCAAAGAAAAAATTCTGAGTCCCCATGAGGAATTGAACCTCAGACCTTTAGATTCTGCACTCTGATGCTCTACCACTGAGCCATAGAGACTCTATGGTGAGCAAGGCTCATAACAAACTTTATATCACACATGTCCTGGATACTGATTAGATGATATTTATTCTGTCACACTGTCATTTGCTGTTAACCATAGGGTCTGCAAATTACCTCTCTGACATGCTCTTTCACACATGCTCACTTTGCACACTTCCTTGATTAACTATAAAATGGAAAAAGAGTTGTGGACAATTCATGATGACACATCTGCCATGTTATTTACATTGCAGGCACAGAGAGGATATTATAATAACTGCAAGTTTCACAGAATTATAAAGGTATGTTTTAGTACTTTATGTATTAGAAGAGATGTGGATTGTCTAATAGGATAATCTGCAACATTAGAATGACTGTAAAAGAGAAGAATGGAAATTATACCATAAGGTAACATTCAGTGAAATTGCAGATCTTTTAAAGATTCAAACTATCACTAGAAAGAAAGTCACAGGTTGTAAGCTCCCCTCCCTGAGTATGAAGTGTAATGGAAATATACTTTGCATTTCATGATGGAAAATGGAAATGTTGTAACAGTTGTAGAAAACAACATGTAGCAACATTAAAATGGCTGCCCTGCTTTACCCTCCCTGCCCTGGGATGCTTACTGCAATATTTTGTGTGAGCTATGTATCCTTATCCTGCAAAATAAATAATATGAATGAAATACCCTGATAAAATGATCTGATTGGTGCAACAACAAACCTCAATGTTGGGATATGATTGGTACTAGCAACAAATCTCCAATGCTGAAATAGATACTACTCTATAAAGAAAAAATACTGAAAAGTGCACTTAAAAAAAAAAGGCATTCAGCAAAGCAACAGATATGGTATAAATGAATACAAAACCAATCTTCTAATGGTATAATTTAACCAACAGAAAGAGCTCCTACAAACTCAACTACTCAACTAAACAACGTGTAATAATTCATACTAAGGAGCAAATCCCATAGATAATACAATAATTATCCTTTAAAACTTATTTAGGCATACAAAAACTTAGCTCATCACTGACACAAGCTCATTTTTTACTTTAATTCTTTAAATGCACTATCTTTGAAGAATATTATAGTAGCTCTCTCCTCAGTGTGGCTTTCTTACAGCAAGTTTTATGTTTAGTTTGGCAGCTCCTTAATATTATCACTAAAATCATCATCATCCTTGTTGTTGAGCGCAGTGGTAATGATGAAATGCCATGATCGTCATCATTATCATTATAACTGCCATCATTATTATCACTGCTTTCGTCTTTGTGGTCATGAGCGTTAGTATCAGCGTTATCACCATAGTTGTCATAATTGTCGTTGCCATTGTTTTTTTGCCATCATTATTTGCACCATCAGGAAATAGCAGCTTTTGCATACCCTGAAATTGAGAACAAGTTTGATTTATTTTTCTATTTTCAATTGCTTACAATGCGCCTTTCAAGCTTTCAAATAATTTTGTTTCATGATGATTTTATCGTGATAATTATATTCCTCCTTCGTGGAATATTAAATACCTTTATTATATCGCTGGCAGTGTCCATGGGCAATGTGAAGCGAATCCTGTGTTCAGATTAGCCACCCGAACGGGCAAGATGGGTCTATCTTACATGCTCGCAAAAAGTGTGGGCAATAGAGTCGCGAAAAGCAGCAGAAGACACTCAAAACATGGAAAACATAAGCAACACTCACGGCTGGGTTTATTGTGCTGCAAAAACAGTTGGCTTTCTTTCCCTTCCCCCAAAAATGAACTAGTCTTCACTCTGAATAAAGCGATGATCTTTTTGCAAATATAATAAATCCTTTATTGACTAAGCTTGTTTGGTCAAGATGGCTGGATATTAGCCTCGTTCTTTGTTGCCGTTTTTATGGACCTCGACTTCGTCTCGGGAGAAATTTGATGTTAGTCACTCGGATGGGTTAGAGGGTTAAAAAGGATCCTGACAAAGACTTTGAGGTTTAAAGGAATAATATGGATCTCTTAGGACGTACCAATGGACGGACTGGATTATAAGCTCTCCTGATACTTTTTCTAACACAAAGTTTTGATGAGCTTGTTAGATTTTGAGAGTAGAGGCTTCTCTCTTTTCCATGCCTCCCAACAATTAAGTGCCTTCTGTGGACCGTGAAATTCATAAGACACTTGCCAGTGGGCTTCTGTTAGATCATTTACGGGTTTTCAGAAGTGTTCATTTCAACGTGCAGATCAGTGAATTTCCCTAAACTTCAAATGATGTGATATAATAGATTTAGTTGTTACCATAATTTTTCTTATTTGAACGACTCAATTCGAGGAAAGCTTTCGAGCACATCTTTCAACAAACTGACTGATGTACACTCAATAAGGAGTGTTGAATGATGATAAAACGATTATTTGTGTATGACTTGCTTCCTCCAAATGCTCCTTTATTTATAGAAACGTTTTCAAGAAAACCCTTATATTAATGATTAATCTTAACCTCAGATTTTTAACCATAATGATTTACCATGATAACCTAAGTAAACACTCAATGTGAAAAATTTGCAGAGTTATTTATCTCTCCCTTTGATCCATTAAACATACTCTGCTCTGTGAGGTACTGAGATTAGCAAATAAAGAAGCCTTGTCTGTTCCTTGTTCTGTTCTAAAGCACAAATAATCAGCTAGGGCGTGAATGAGGCGTAAAGGAATACATAACCTAGATGAAAATTTTTTTCCTTCTTCTTAAGTGCACCAGTCAGAAGTATCTGTTAATCTTTACATACAGAACCTGACTGTTGCATTTCTTTGTCAAAGTCGTATATTCTTTAATGCAGAGTAGTCTAATTTAAAAACAAACAAAAAAAATTATGTTTGTACACAGAGTGCATATTTGGTACCTTCCTTTAAAAAATCAGCTTGTTCTACATCGGAGTTGATGGTCTGTACCAATTCCATCCAGCATTCTTTAAACGACGTCATCTTAATTCGGGTACCTCTGCTTGTGAGTATGCGAACTGAATCTTTCTTCTGAACCAGTTCCACGATCTTTTGAATGTTTTCAGTCTTCACTCTTGCGGCCCTGGTAAGTTCGACTACCTCCTTCCAGAAAGTAACAGCTCGGAGGATGAATACCACCATACTTTTAACGTCACCCAGTTCATTGTGGCGTTCTTTTCGTTGTCTTTCCAGCTGTTCCACTTCCTTAGAAATCCTCCGCATGTCTTCCTCAGCCTAATGAAAGAGATTTCTTTCATGTAGCATAAACACGCATCAAAATCAACACACCTCCTTCCAGTACGTATCAAATGTAGATTGCACTTTGTAGTACTACCTGTGCGCCTTCCTTAACCTCAAGTGAACCCCAGGTGAACCGTTTTATTGCGATGTGTAGCGCCCTTTAACGCCGATCATTACGTTGAACATTCGTTATCTGTTCGTATTTATTTCGTCATTTTTTCCAGATCAGTTTACTACGTCTTCTATGATACATTTTTACCCCTGAAACTCACGATTTTTCGTTCACCAATCGCTTACCACTTTTCTCAAGCGTGTGGTATATAGCTGCTTCATTTTGCTACTGTTTTTTTTTTCGTAAACAGATTGTGGGCACAAGCATTAAAAGCTGTACATTCTCTGTATTCAAGGGGCGTTCAGGAAATTTATCTGCAAGCTTCATGTACGATCGTAAAACCTTCAAAACTGCTAAAAATGTGCAATAAGGGAAACATCGAATGAAGACAAACATACTTTACTGTCTCTGCATTTTTTTAAGAGAACATACTTTCCATCGTTAATTTGCAACTTACCTGACGAATTCCAGAATTGGTCCGTTCAATCTCCCTTTCGGCTTCCTCCGCATCCCTTTCATGACGGGCCATTTCTCTCGAGGCAGCTCTTGCCTTCCCATTATTTTCTTCAATTATTTCGCGCACTGCAAGGTACTGACCATAAATAGGCACCCACCAATACGTCCTAAATTCTTCGTCCTTTTTTTCAGCTTCCCTCTTTTCCCTTTCTGCTTCTTGATACTTTACTTTAGCCTCTCGCTTACTTTGGATGTAATGATTCTTCATGTTCGTTAGTGAAGATTTCTTTGCTTCTAATTCTTTTTTCCTTTTTTCGTGTTGTTTCTGTTCCTGATATAATTCGTTTATCTGTCGAGTAATGGCCTCCACTTGTCTCTTGTGTTCATCTTCAGCTTCTTTTAGCCGATCACAATACACAGATGCCTGTTGTTGCACTAACAAGCCATCTTTTCCAAGTGATTTCAACATAACCTCGGAGCTGCGAATATCGCCCGTTTTCACTGCTTTCAGTACTGATTCTATGGTGTTAAAACACTTTTCGCTGACTGAAACGAGTGCCATGAAGAGTAAGCTCTTTAAAAGATGTATATACGTGGCGTTGAATAAGCTGATATTGTGAGAGAGAATTAACAGTGATCTTTGCGTTCAGACATTATTAAAAGTATTTCACTAGCAAAAGAAAGCTATTCATTCGTTTCCAAGAATTTCAATCAACGCTGTAGGTTCAAATTACTTTTGTCGTATTTCCCAAATTTGGTAATAAAGGAAATCGTTTGACACGGAGTAGTTACAAAAACATGACCATTAAAGGCAAAACATGTTGAACCTGAGAAAGGATGGCAATCATATCTTATCTTTTAATATCAAGAAGATGCCAACACGAAAAGGATTTATTGTGTTTCGACGAATGAAGGTTTGGCCTAAATTGGCTCGTCTTAAAAATAACAATGTTTATGTTTGTAACCACTAAGATATTGATCACTGGAATGGGTTAGCAAGACAGAACAATTCATGTCTTTCTAAGAAAAATAAAACTTCTCCCCGGAGAGAACAAATGGGTGATTTGTACCCTGAGGTGTTTACGGTGGGTTGTTTATTCCCGGAAAGAGAAGCTTATTCTACTTTTATTCTTGTCACTGCTTTCATCGGCAAATGAAAATACAAAGTTAAAAGACCGGAGATTTCTTTCTCGAGGAGTTAACGGTTAGCTACGTTTGGATCGCGTAGAAAATCTTATGGGCAGAGTGCCAAAACAGATAAATGTGGAGACGACATGGCAAAGTTACTAAATTTAGTAACTAAATTTAGTCATCTAAGAGTCTATTGACCAATCCAAACAAGACACGTTGCCACAACAAGTTTCTAAGAAAAATAGGAAGTCTTAATTGTTAGCATCATACACCTATAAAATTGCAACGCATCTCATCGTGCGGTATCAATTTTGCTTTCTGATTAGCAGCATACTCAACGTAGGTAAAGAAATGGCTCTTGCTCCCGAGACAGAAGTGGAAATTCAAGGAGAAAGCTTCGATCTTGTTACCCTTCCAAATCCAAAAAGTGTGCTGGTGAGGAAGGCTAAAGATAATCTCCTTGGTTCCCTCGATCTTGCAAGCCTCGTGGATGACCTAGGGAAACTTGGAAACTTTATCCGTGTGGCGTACAATGGTGTAGCAGGTAACACTGAGATACAGATTAAAGTACAGAAAGTTGGCTATAAGATCACAAACCTGGCTGACCAGTCTGCCGTCACTGTGCACAACTTTAAGCGTGCTTCGCAAGATGTACTTCAGGAGCTCCAAGGCACCTATCAGTACTTGCTAGATGGATTGGAAGAGATGGCGCTGGAAACTCTCTCTGTATTGAATGACGTGGCGAAAGAGATGGCTACGGCGGCAGAGAAGCTGCGCGATGACTTTGAAAAGGCAACAAATGATGTGATTGATGCCTTACAAGATACCCAGAGAGCAAAGGGCACTCAGGAGGAAAAGAAGAGAGCTCTTCTGAAAGAAAGAGAAGAATTTGAGAGGGAGAAACAGAAAGCGCAAGAGCGACAGAAGAGTGCGCTCGAAGCTGAAGAAAGGGCGAATGTTCTTTACACCGAGGCTCAAAAAAGAGAAGACAAAGCGATGGATAAGCAGGGAAGTTTGTTCACAGCATTGACAGATGGTTTGACAAGTATGGTTGGTGCTGCTAAGGAAGGAATACAAGGAAATTTTGAAAAGGCAGTGGAAAAACTGGAGAAGTTGGGCGACCAATCAGGATACAAAGAAGCTATGAAGATGGCAAACGAAGAAAAGATGAAACACTTGGATGAACTGCAGAAGCAACGAGACATGCGTCGAGACGCCCTACTTCAGTGCATAGAATTCACAGAGAAGATAAAGAGTTGCCAGAATGATGACGCTCTAGCAGATGCCGCCATCGAAGCCTTGCACAGTTCCATTGGTGCTCTTAAATCTCTCTCAGCCACTATGATGAGTGCAGCCCTGTTCTGGCGTCAGATGCAGAGCCACTGCGAGGCTTTAGCGAAAGGAGACGTGCGTCGGAAGGTAGAAACAGCCATGAAGCTCCCTGAAGAAAAACGACTGAAAGTTTGGACTTCAAAGGGATTCAAAGTATCAGCCGTGCAGTTCTATTCTAAGTGGGTTGCTCTTGATGACGTGTGCGAAGTGTACATGCTACAGATCAAGGAAACCAGACAAGATCTTTACTCCTACCTGACAGAAAACCCTACCATCGAAGAGGCGAAAAAGAATGTGCGTGAGCTAGCCGACACGTTTGCTGCCGATTTGAAGGCAGCGCATGAGAAGTTGGCAGAGAAAGAAAAGAAGGCGCTGGAAGAGAGGAAATCGCTTGAGGACTCTGAATAGAGGTGACCTAACAAGCGTCTTTACTTATTGTAGCAGTTATTTCATGAGCTTATTAGCGAGCGTAGCGATGCTTGATCAGACTTGTGGGTTAGAAATGTTTCGTGCACTTTCTCACCGAAGCGTGCCTACTATACAAAAACTATAAAATTAACAAAGCTTGTATGTGTTAATGAAGTTGAACTGACAAGGCAAATGTTTTGTCTTTGTATTCGGACCTTCGGAAATTTACATCATTGCCTACTGTAGTTTTATTAGAGTTCATGCTCAAAGTTGTCGTGGTCAGTTTACTCAGTAGTTCCTTACATCGGTGTACGTGTTACAGGATTGAATGGCCCTTCTTTAATATTAGCTTTTCCTGGAATCCACTCTAAGTGACTCCAGTTTAACCTTATACAACAAGTATGAAGCTTTTCCATTTACATGCGTTTATGAAGATCTTAGCACTAAATTTAATGGAATTAAAGTCCTTCGAACAAAGAATCTATTTTAGTCCATGGTCTCCCACATACGAGCAAGAAAGCGTTGTTACTTTCAGATGTACGTTCATTGTGTTTCATTGTAGTAGAATTGATGCTGAACATTACGGCGCAGCAGTAAATAGAAAAAAAGAATTGATGCAAGAAAGTTCATCGGCAACAAACGTAACCGATTGTAATAAAATATTTTAAGAGTATAGCAGAATATGGTACTTATCCTGGCCGAGCTCCATCCAAATTATAGACACTGACCTCAGTAAACCGCCAAAGATCCAGTCTATAAAGTGTTTTGTTCCTCCAAGGATAGCCATTTCACATGACACGACACAGTGCCTTAGTTTACGCATTTGGCGTTTTCAAAGCAAAGCGGTTCCTTGAATAATTGAATATTTTCAGTGGGCACTTACGCTATTAAAAAAGCGTGATGTCCACTGAAATTACATGGACGTTTTCATTAATTCAACCGGAGAGTTTTTACCGCAGGCTTTCCTCATAAAAGAACTTCATTTTAGCCTTGAAAGCTATTAACAGTGCGTGCTAGGAATTTGTCCTGACAATGGACCACTTATTTTTTCTTAGAAATCAGGAAATAAAGGTGATCTTCCACTGGGTCGATACAAGAGCTAGCGGTAGTCTAGACAGGGGCAAGGGTCTGGAGTTTGATTTTATGCTATCCGAGTGAATTGCAGAAAGTGCAGACAATAACTACTCTGCATATGTCATTTAACCGTGATTTTGTTCCTAGAAGTCCTCAACTTCTTTTAAGTAATTTTTTATCACGAGCTCGCTCAAGGATTCTTATTAGGAAGGTTTATTTGAGAAACAGCCTCCAAAAGGTCCGGCATCTTTTCTTTAGCCCGACCACATTACACCGGTTATATTTGAAAACAATGTTTTCACACTTAAGACGAATAAAAGTTCTCAATTCGTACTGGAAAATTGACGAATGTTTTCTATTCGCACCACAAGGAGCCCCTGGATGCAAAGAGCATTTTGCGATTTAGTGTCACATAACCGAAACCAAAGTAATAAAGGGGGGTAAGTTTCCAAAGAAACTGTGGTGCTGCGTCGGTGGGAGAGTATATCAGGGTTGTAATGTTATAAAATGAGTTGATATCGTAAATTTGCCACCGTACAGAGTTTTAAAGCTGACGTTTCGAGCATTAGCCCTTCGTCAGAGCGCAAGCGGTGTGCATTGTATTATGGTACCTTAATTTTAAACATGGCAGAGAAAGCAGCAGAAATCGGAAGCTTTTGACTGAACATCCCAGAAAAGTTAGGCCATTCCTTTTTTCTTTCACCATAGGGAAATGTAATTTGATCTATTCTGAATGTGCAAAAGTATTTTTTGTACGTATTTGTCGCGTATTCTCAAGGACAAACGCAATCAATGTTTTCCAGTATGTAATTTGAGACCGGTTTTTCGAGAAGGTCAAATTTGATGTACGTCTTAGTTTGGAGCCTTTCAAAGATTTGGATGGCCGCTTTGAGCCTTCATCAACAGCTCTGACCAAACGCTCTCGCTTTAAGTGCTAGTGTTAGAGACCGATTATTGCCGAGAAAAGGCCTGTTGTTGCTTTACACAGCGTCACCTTTGTATACTCATTTGTGTTGTAAATCTACTTTCCTTAGTGAAAAGAAATTTACTGACGGCGAGTGTTGTATAGTAAATCTACTATCTTGATCATTGAATGAAGGACAGTTGAATTACAGCGATGAAAGGAGTCACTTGACCAGTGAATAACTCCACAATGCACATGGCGACACGCCGGGTAAGCCGGAAAGCAGAAGGCAGTCGATCGTTTTAAGCTGTTGATAGGCTTCTGCGACTTCTGCCATTCGCTTGCGCTTTTAATCTTCTGACCTGAAAGCTTAGCTGTTGTTAGGATATCTTTTAATGACTTTCGTTTGCGATGTGGTAGTAAATGTTAGGTTTAAGGTGTCATTTCCCCATCAGTATGTTCTTGAGGTTTGGAAAAGCTAGATGAGATTGTGTTACAATAGTTAATATTTTCATTTGTGCGCGCTATTTTTTTTGTTTTCAAGTATGCTGTCTCTCGCGCAGAACATAACTCCAGAGATACGTTTCTCGTCAGCGGAGATTGAAATTGTTTATACCTAGGTGTTGCTCTTTGTAAGGGTGAGATTAGCGATGCAAAACCTGCTGCATCAAGGTAGCTGTTCTAGCGATTTTTTTTGTATTACCAAGCCAAGAAGAGAGCTAGATGCAGACTTAACACACGTAAATAAAGTTGAAAAGGCTTCATTGAGTTATTTCTTGGCGATTGATAACTATTTCCAAAGTCCGAGACCATTACGTGATGTCATTGTTTCATGTGTAGCATACAAGAGATATGTGGATGACTCACTGACTATCATGCCAGACAAAACATCAGCAGTCAATTCCCTTGAGATTTTAAACCAGTGCCATTCCTTTCTTAAATTTACCATAGAGATGGAGAGTAATGACATGCTTCCTATTTCGGGCACCCAGCTGCTTAATAAACACACACAAGTTGAGACTAAAGTATACATTAAACCCATCAATACTGGCCTCCTGCTGCATTACAAGAGCCATGTAGACAACCAATACAAATGCAGGTTTAAGACAACAGAAGCTGTTGATTAAAAGTGCCTATAAGGTAGTTCTTTCTACTGTTTTGTGACAACTAATCAAGTAAATAGGTTAACTTGATGTCTTTTATGAGGAGACTCGTATTGACAAGTATTGTAGCTATTGATTGCTGCGTACTACATTTTGATACCAGTCCTGGTAAACAATTACCCCAAGTAACTATTTAATAACATTCTTTGTAAATTTGTTTGAGGGTCACCACTAAATTCTATTTGACAGGATTTCATGATTCAAACAGGAGACCCCACAGGAACTGGTCGTGGAGGAGCTTCTGTGTATGGGTGAGTCTGGTCACTTTCCAAGCTTTTTAAATCTACCATGCATTATATTTGTTTTCAATAGTTGTGGTCTGATATGGTACCATAACTCTTTTGAAGAGTTCTTTAAATAATATTGACAATAATATTGTTTTTGACAATCTTGTTTGAAATTTATAAAAGTCAGAGGACTACAAGCTAGAATGCTACTTGGAACACCAAGTTCCATTTGTCAGGACTGGCCAGATTTACTGTTCTATTTATAGCTATAGATGGACCTGTCAGCTTTAAAAACTTTCCTTCTATTTGCTATACATGCCAAATTTTTTGGAATGCTATGAGCCAACTAAAGAAAGGCTACAGTGTACAATGTAAAGATTTAAATAAGAAGTTGCTGATTGTTTTGATAATATACCAGCTGTACAAATTTAATTTATATTCTTGTGGAAAGTGAAGCTTCACTTTTCATTCATACTGCCAAGAACTGGTTTTCAGAGGACAACTACAATTTACTTTCAGGAGCCCGAATCACCATTACAATTGAGACCCTTTTCTTCTCATTTTTACAGCCTACTTTTCAACACTTCTTGATATCACCTGTTACATTTTCAAGTGTATTGATTTGTTTAACACATGTTGTACACAGGCCTGCATTTGAAGATGAAATTACAAGAGATTTAAAACACACAGGAGCAGGAATCCTTTCAATGGCAAACAGGTAAACATGCTCCATTGAGTTAATATTAGCAAATGTGATATCTAGTCATTAAAATTTCATTGGTTTCATTTGTACAAGAAACAATAGGGTAGAAAGAGAGAGGTTACCTTTTATTACTTTCGATCACCTTGCCAAATACTTATAGTAGTATTTACCCTTGAGGATAATCATGATTTCAAGGTTAACAGCAAACACTTTTCAAGCAAAAGAATAATCTGCTATCAAGAACACATCAGACAGGAAAGGTAATGAATCCCATCTAAACAACATGTTGGCTGATACATTATTAAATGGGTCAGTAGGATTGGCTGACTGCCTTTGAATGCTTTGCCACCTAGTTTCCCAATGAGAAGCATCAGTTGTGTCAGTGACTCTTATTACATTTAGCTAAGCTTTTGAAAGAGGATCAAGTTACAGTGGGTCTCTTTTTCCATAAACTTCTCACTCATTAGTATAGTATACTTTTGTTGCTAGTATGCTTTTGTTGCATGTTGTTTATTGCTTGTTAGCAATCAATAACTCTCTCAAAAGAATGCCTTGAATGAGAATGTACTCACCAAAAGTATCCAAAAAAAAAAATTAATCACATGTTGAAGGAGGTATACAGTTTTATTTTGTTGAATATAGAGTCAAATGATTGATCAATAGCTTTTCGAAACATGACAGCGAAACTTTAAATCAGTCTTTTTAATGATTGAACTTCATTTTTTCTAAAAAACTGTTTTTTCCAAAATTTGAGCCTCTAGACTTGGTGATAAACTGGTGTTTATGGTATTTCAATTCTTCCTGCTTGGCCTCAGTTGTCTGTTGGTGGTGTGTTCAGCTGATGTGTCCTTGGTGTTTTTTGGCATTTCATTCCTTCCCATTTGATTTTGTTAGTGTGTCACTGGTGTTTTAGCCAAAGTGTCAGTCAACACATTGGCTAAGGTGTCAGTAAAGATTGGATTCATTACCTTACCTTATCAGACTATGAAAATGATGTTTCATTCACTGAGTCTTCTGTTATATTGATGTATGTAGTGGTCCAAACACAAATGGAAGCCAGTTTTTCATTACCTTAGCTCCAACACAGTGGCTAGATGGTAAGGAACTTTCTTTCTTTTTTCATACACAAGATAACCACCGATGGAATGAACTAAATAAATGTAGCATACAGCATATTCTTTCTCAACTAAGCAATTTATTTTCTCTTCCATGTCTTACTGATAAAGCTCAGAATTCTTACAAAATTAATGCTTGGCTCAAATCTGACATCAGATCAATAGTTCGACCTGCATTTTTGTTTGAGTTTAATCTATCACATGCTCAGTCTTTTTAGGGATAGGTTTATTAATTTCAGTTTTATTATTTACCGTAATTTCCGGTCGTTTACCCGCGGGTAATCTGTTGATTTTGCATTAAACGCGCGCCACTGCGGGTAATAGGGAGGTGCGGGTTATGTGACAATTTTAAAATCCAGTGGTAGTTGAATTGAAAAAAAAATATCACCAACATGCGTTTCCACCTCTCAAGTAAATTTTATTGTGTTAATAGTGCCGCAAAGCGGCACGAAAACATGATGCCGACTCGAGTTTATTTCACGCATAATTAGTTGCGCGACGAACAAATTATTATCGGCACGCGTGAAAACAAAACCTTGATGGTGACAAAAATTATCCAAAGATATCCGGCGCATCAGTAACAAATTTCCATTTAACACTAGCTTGAGCTAAAGAGAATTTTCCCGTTTTAAGGGACTTGTTAGGCCCAATAGAACCGGAGATATCGTTTTTTTCAGAAATCGCCGACAGTACTTTATAATTCAAGTTTTAATACTCACCCAGCTTTTTTTCAACAAATCAACATGGCGCTGAACGATCGCTCGCACAAAATGTGGCCACAAATTCGCATTCTGTCAAGTATGAAACGTTGAGATTTGGGCATGGGCCGCTAGTGTTTTTACTGTATAATCTTATCAATAAAGTACATGCTAATATTGACACAGAATTGTGCACGCGTCTGAATTTCTTTGACCTTTAAACTGGACAAAGACGCTTCGAAGTTTCGAAAGTTGGATCAGACAACTTTTAAAAGACTGAAATGTATCACCTTAATGTCACGTTTGCGCCACCAAAAAGTTGAATAACAACGTGCGGGTTATCCACCAGTGCGGGTAATCTGGTGACTTTTTTTTTCGCCGTATGCAATAATCGGCCGGTGCGGGTAATCGGCCGTGCGGGTAAACGACCGGAAATTACGGTAATCATTTAAACTTTGATTTGATGTTAGTTATGTAAAGTGCAATTGAATATATTCACTTCGAGATATGCACCATATTTACACACTGTATTTCCTCCTATAAGTGCCTGCACTCTAATTAGCACCCTCCCCCTAATAAGTACCTACTCCCAAGGCCATTACTTCAAATAATCATCTCCCTCGAATAATCCCCCCCCCCCCTCCTTCTTTCCTCCTCAGCCTCACTGTGACTTTTTTAAGAAGTAGGAATACAAAGTTGCATTTCTCATGATCACTGCTCCTTATTTATTCATGTTACCAATTTTTATAAGAGTACATGTAAAAGACAATGATGCAATTTTCTGCAGGTAAACATACAATATTTGGCCGTATTAGCCATGGGATCAGTGTTGTGCGGAGGATTGGACTAGTGGAGACAGACCCTGGTGATAGGTATGCGTGAAATCAGAGCATTTATTTTTCACACAGTCATACATAAAACTTTGATCAAACTGATTAGAAATGAAAACTTTGGCCTCCAACTCCAATTTTTAACTTAATACATATGATAGGTAAATACATTAAACATTGAATCTTTCCTCTCATTTTAATTGAATCTTACATTTTAAGAGTTTTGATTAAATTGTTATTTTATTGACAATGCCTGGCATTCTTCTATATGTTTCTAGTTGATATATTTTTTCATAAGATAAATTAGCTGTTTCTGTGGCACACCAGAACTGTAAAGCATTCACACCCAGTGTCCAAATAAAGTATATTCCCTGCCTTATTGCTATAATTGCGCACAACAAAATTTGACATCCAGCCAACTTTTTTAAGTACTCAGTTACACTTGTGAGGCAGTGTTGAGAGTCATTATCACAAGCCATATACCATGGTTACCATGGTGGGGAGGGGGGATAAAAGAGTTGACCCTTTAACTCCCAAGATCTCATTAGTAATTCTCCTTACTGTCAGCTATGTAGTTCTTGTGATGTTAGTTTAGAGAATTTGGTATTGGATCAACTAACAATCCCCTTGTTAAGATTTTTCTTTAATCTCATTACTTGTCTGCTTGATATTGCAATGATATATTAAGGAGAAATTCTGTCTTGGGTCACTCATGGGAGTTAAAAGGTTAAATGTTCTTTATCATTTTTTATTAATGCCCATTTCTTTACCTTTTCCTTTACCTGATCTTTTGCAGTGTGCATGATTTAACATGTTTATTTTGTTTTTCTTTCAGGCCACTTCACGATGTTTACATTTTAAATGGGAAAGCAGCACCAAAATCCACATGAGACATAACAACTTTTTTATCAAGTCATTGAACCATCCATCAATGTGCAAAATAAGAACTACACACCTGTCAGACTGTTTCTATGTTGATGTAAGGAGATCTATAAATAACATCATGATGTCAAACTGTCATATACTGATATGTAGATGTTGTTTATTGTAACATGAGCTGAACAACATCCATTTTACAACATTAAAAGTTGTCAATAGTGTACCTTATTTTGTAAAAGTAGGGATAAACTTTAAACAGTTCATTTTTTATTAGTTTTCCAAAACACATAACTTTGTAATAGATAAATTCTGTCTTGTAAGATGTTTGTTTGTTTGTTTTTTTTAAGTTAATTTCCATGTATTTCCAAACGATAATGATGATATACTATATCTGAGAGGTTTGGTGTCATGTTTTCTTTCACTTTTCAATACCTGCAGTAAGCTTTTGATCGAATCCTAACTGTACTTAGCTTACTAGATCTTAGCAAATTAATGTAATTTTCTGATGGAGTGAAAAATGTTTCTCCATTCACAGATCAGATTACTTCACCCTTTAACTCCTAGGATCTCATTTGTAACTCTCCTTACTGTCTGCTAGGTAGTTCTTGTGACATCAGTTTGGAGAATTTGGTATTGGATCAACTAATAATCCCTTAATTTATTCTCATCACTTGTCTGCTTGATATTGTAAAGAGAAATTCTGTCTTGGTCATTCATGAGAGTTACAGGGTTAATAATGATTAAGAACTTCTTTTGTTCCATGATGCTCTTGTGTGACAAGGTTACAAAAATGTTGATTATTGTGTTGACAGTTCGAACCCATTTCAGCCTCTGGACAGGTGAAGTACCCATTGTTCTTTGCTTGTCCTATTTTTAACTAGTCACCAATAACCAGAAGCCCGATACTAGTTCAATAAAAATCCTCATAGAAAAGTAGACATTTATTGACTTGTAAAATTTGAAGCCAAAACCTTAACTGTATTTGAACTTTGAAATACAATGTGAGAAGTCTTTTCTATAAGCCTTAAGTGAAAAATAGTTGGGTTTTGGGAATGCCATTTTCCCTGACAACAGACTGGTGTAATTTGCTGTCTCACCATTGACTGAAAGTATAGAATGTGCTCTATTTTCCTATGCCAAAACCTGTAACTGGATTTTGATTAATATTTCTGAGTGATAAGTTGTGTTAGGCAGGTTGGAAAAGTCCAGGTAAAAGAGGTGTGGACTCAAGACCTGGCTTGTGCCCAATTTATGTAATATTCTGGGACACCATACTTGCCAGTAACAAACTGCTGTGAAAATCTGGTTAAAAGCTGAGGACTATCTGTGACGGATCAGAATGACATCTTGAATAAATACCATTGGTGTTCAAATCAGGCCCTCTTGATTTAGCTTAAATTATTGCTTGTAAAATAAAGAAGAGAGAGGAAAATGAAATGCTCTGGCTGATAATGCTGAGGAAATGGTTTCAGTTTATACATTCCTGTCATCCCCTCAATTAATAAAAAAATTTTTAACTACATACACATGTACTTATAAGCCTGTAGTAAGTTTTGTTTTAAATTGCTGTCCATTTTTAAACCTTACAGGTGCATTTGATATCTGGTCTGGTGTTCACCAAAAGTGGATGACAACCCATAAGAAAATAATGACCTACCTTCTGAGGCTCTCATTGAGTCTTCAATCCTTGCAGTATCCCTTCTTTTAAATAAGTCCCCTCTCTCTCTTCTAGTCTTGGAAATTCATAAGCAGCAATCCCTTAAGGGGTGTATAGACATATACTTTGCTTCAAGCTGCCTGATGCCCCTAAACTGAGGATGGACCTGACTACATGTATATGCCACCGGTACTTTCCTAAACCTTTTGTCATAAGTTTTGGAAAAATTATTATGCCTACATTACTCAGTTAAAACACAGCAAAATCCTAACATTAGTGACCCCAGTAATAAAAGATTGTCTGAAATGTTACAATTATGATGACTTTTTAAACCCAGGTTTATGCTTAACATGAAAAAATAAGTGACTTTCCCAGTTCCCAAACCAAGTTAATTATCAGAGCTGATCTCTTACTTTTATTCAATTTAAATGCTTGATATCTAACTCTTAGAGAAGAGAAAATCAAGGAGATTGTGACCAGATTTACATTTGCTGATATTTGAGTCAATACGTTTGATGGGTGAGCAGCTGAGTATTCGTTTTGCTCCAGTAGAGCATGGAACAGTAGTTTCATCGAAAGAAGAAAAACTCACGGTGATTTGCATAACATATTATCATAGCTGCATTAAAAAGTAACTGTGGGAAGTGAGAAGTATTTTAACTGAAATCCGAACCAACCGCTGAGCCGTCAAATTGAATACAGTAGTTACTCCTGAACCCCTTAAGGCATAGGATGATAATGTTAAACGAAAGCCAAAAAAAACACCAAAAAAACAAGCGCATGCAGTTAATTTTTACGTCTTTGACTTCTATCATTCCCTTCTGTCTAGTTAATTCCGACTACAGGAATGAAGGATCGATACTGGTATATTTCAATTCATCGCTACATCCTAAAGATCATGACCTAAATCTACTTAACATCATGCACTGTCAATCTCATTCAAAAAAGTTCTCGAGAAGCCACCGTTCATTGAAATCTCTAAGTAACTACTTTTGAAAGTGATACATGAATTTATAATTTATTTCATGTCCCTTTTTGTTTACGCTAATTACAGAGTTTCATTCCTGAGGGAAGGCGAAAACTCCATAGTGACTAGACGCACTTCATATCACTTCGGGGTTACCCAATCGATAGTTCGTTCTTTTTAACTGCTCCATGGGCATGTCTGAAACAAATAGATCGTTCAAGACCAAAACGAATTGTTGCGACCAAGAGTATACAACCTGGAGTACTGTAATTGAAACTTGAACGGCGAAACAAGACAGTATCGAATTGAAAAGCCATCCACAGTGTCGTCCAATATAACGGAGAATCTTCAAATGTGAAGCATCTACGGACGTGTTTCCTTCGCTGGTTAAGAGATCCACACGGCTATGATAATCAAAATTATCAAAAAGTTCCTGTAGTACAAAGCAATGAGAGCAACTGCGATCATAAATCCGATCACAAGAGCCAATTTTAGAAACTGTCGAGGACGAATGTTCAATTCCCCGTTCTCCGTGGTCGACACTTGACTGTTGCATCGCCTCGTCATGTGTTATCCGCGTCAAAAGTATTACATTTAGCTCTGTGATAAATTATTTTAAGGCTTTCCTAAGCTTCTTCACTAATTCACCACGACCATGATGCATAAATAACGCACAAATATTTGTACAACCGCCAAATAAAACTCAACAGCTGTCGTATGCTACGAAAAGAAAAGATCAACCGGAAGTTAAGGTTATCCGCTGACCAACGATTGTGCCATTCCAACACGAACTTCCGGTGTCGTCATATGGAATGCCTCTTATTTAAAAACCCGTAGTTCTTCCTCCACGCACGTCTCTACCATCAGATGAAGGACAGGTAGTGGGGAAGATAATCTTGTGTCTCGTTTCCTCTGCTCTTTGAGTGTTTTAAATGCTTCCAAATATAGAGAAAATTTCTTTGTAAAAAAATGAAACATAATCACTAGAGTAGAAAGTCAATAAATTTTAACGGTAACTATTTTAAAATAAATATCTAAAACCTTAAATGTTGAATTTTAGTTGATTATCTTTACATTGTGTCTGTTGGGATGTGTTATGTTATCATCTGTAACTCTTTAGCTCCCAATATCTGATTGTTAATCCTCTGCTCTGGCTGCTAAACATTTCCTTGTAGATTAGTTACAAGAATTTGGTGTTAGATCAAGATAACCACTTCTACTTGATAAGTCTGAGTATTCTCATTACCTGTTTGCTAGATAGTGTATGGATATTATAGAGAGAAGTAACACATTAATCACTTCTGGAAGTTAAGGGTTAAATGGTAAGACAACAGCATTAAGCAAACTACTCAGTTGTGCTAGGTTTAGATTTTATATTGTAAATTTTGTTTTTATCTTCATGTCATCATGTTACCACCAAATTACTATTATAATATTTACACCACATTACTATTTACTATACATTGAATTCTTAGTATAGCATTGGCAGTTTCAAATGCAATTCTGTATGAATTTATCTTCATTGAGTAAATATCCACAACAACATTGTCAAATAGTTTGTTACTATTCCCAGTGCAACACTTATCCCCATTACCAAATGAGGTATTTGTGATCATTTCTCCCATCATGCTCCACTCCAATGAATGGTCATGTGACACCAATCCACACATGCAGTAAGGCATGCTGGGTTTCAGTTCCAGTGCTCCAGGAGAAAGACTCCAATGATGGTGATTGGCTGAGTCAGTAATCTCAATCCCACCATCATGTTCTAGGCACTTGGCTAAGGATTCCAAGCAGAGGGCTACATTGTTGATAACAGAAATTATCTGACCTAAGAAACAACATTTCTAGAGTTAAGAGAACATTTGCAAAGATACAGTCTAAAAATGCTGCAATGTTATGAACTAATATTTAAAATGAATTTCATCATGATGAAACTTGAATGCACCTTAAAGGAAAACCTTAGGCAGAAATGTGGGAGATTAGAAAAACTTTTTGAACAATTTACATGATTGTATATCTGTAATAATCAAAAGTAACAAGTATTCTTCAACAAGCCATTTTCACACTAAGGAATTTGAGTGGATAAAGTAGTTGCTGCAAATCTCCAATAGAATGTTACCAAACTATGTAAGAATGTCAAACTTTTTACCTTTAGAGCAGCCAAGATCTCTGGATTTCTCTGAACTACAGTTTTTCCCATACATTCTTAGCACTGATGCTAAGTGTGTGTCCAGACAGCCAGCACCAGGAAAGACATATGGTTGTTTAAGTGTCTCATGTAATGCAATGATGGATGCTTGGCAAACTGTCTTGAGCTCCTCAAGGGAAGTTTCATCTGGTGCACACAGCACAAGAGTGCACACAGGAGAGGATTTTAATGATGGTTGAGGAAACAGATGAATGTAGCTGTGCACAAAGAAATCACATTACTGAAAGCCAACATTTTTTAATTTCTCTAGATAGAAAGTGAGCATCATGTGTACAATTGTTGTAGATTATGGTTTATGAGCATTTGTTTTTTAAGATGAGTCATTTGAATAAAAAGTAAAAACCTGCTTAATTTGTTGTCTAATTGATAGCTGAAGGCCAAGCAAAGACTTGGTAACAGAAAAAAAGGTATGCAGGGTTGTTAAAATAAGTTGGCAACTGGTGCATTTCTCAGAAAAACTGCTCTAAAAAATATGCCAGTTATATCAAACGCTTGTGGCTCAATTTTCATCATGGAGCCATGACATTCTGCAGCCTACTTTGTATCACAGTCTGCTTACTCAAAATCTTTTTGACAACCCTGGCCAAGTGAAGCCATACCAAGATCCACAAGAAATTAAACATATGGTAATGATGGAAGCAGGATGATGAGAAATAAACTTAACCATGACATACTAATATTACTAATAATGATGATGTTAGTGGTTCACTTCCAGTCCATACATGTTGTGACAGAGGATAAACTCATAAACTCAAACAGACCTCTTGTTATTTAACACCATATGTTCAATCCTCTCCAGTTGTCCAAAGTTTGACACAGGAATGTCCCTGGTGAAAGTGCTCAAGAGTACAGCCCCAGTTAATCTCTGTACAGCCGTAATGTGAACAATCGAGACACGATCAATCACCAAAGCACCCTTAAAAAATTCAAACAAGGACAAAATTGGGTTACACTTGATGACTTTGTGTTACATCAAGCCAATCCCACGGTATTGTGACCTACACAAACTGGTGTTTAAAATAGAAATGAAAAAGAGTTCTGAAACTCTTTTAGCATAAATTCTCACGCATAAATTCTCATAAATTAGCACCCCTCATTCAATAGGCACCTCTACTAACACATCAAATTTTTAAGAAGAACCCTTTTTCTGGTAGCCCCCCTCTCTCTTTCCCCTGATTTTCTTTTTCTTATTCTTTTTCTTCAGTAATCATGTTTGCCACACTCTTTAAGAGTATAATTATATTGCAGTTTATAATTTGCACTGATATCACCATACTTTCTCAGTTTGTGAACATGCTAGAGTTTGGAATTAAGGTAACTGTGAGCACTAGCTGTGCTATGTGACCACAACTTATGGATAAGCTTTGTAACACACTCTCAGCCTGTGCTGTTGTTTGTATACAGATTTCATATTGCAGAAAAAAAAACATTTTGTCTGGCCAAGATTTGGAAAAAATTAAACAAGCACCACCCTTAAATAAATGCTGATATCTCTTGAGGTTATTTCAAGTATTTAAAGTAATTCATTACCAGTGCTTAAGCTTCACAAGCCTCAGCAAGTAAAAAAAAAAACAGAAAATTTTTATATCAATGAATACTCATCCACAAAGTTCAAATCAAAACTTTGTTTTCACTCAAGACTAAAGAAAAAATGCAAACCTTATCTCGCAAATATTGCTTGACTGCAGGATGTACACACTTCTGGCAAGCAATAACAGCCACCCCAGTACTAATCAACCAATCAGCAACCTTTAACATTTGATGCACAGTTGCACTTTCTATGTTAGCATCATGCCTAAACATTGTTGCCTCTGTCTTCACACTATCACTGAACCATTCATCAGTGTCTCCTGCCATTGATACATTGTATAAAGCAACCTTGGCAGCAGGGCTTACAAGGGTCTTGTTTTGTCGAAAGGTAGGAATATCAGGGGCTTGTAAAAGGACACCTAGTAAAATTTTGGATTCATTCACAGGATCTCCCTCACAAGTTACTATTTGGACTGGAAGAAGTGCCAAAGGTGAACAGGAAGAATCTTTACATGTCTTACTTGGCAAAGATTGGAGAAAAGCCTAAAATCAAAACATGACAGATAAATGTAAATACAAAAATAAATTTCATTAACAATCATCCTTTTGAATCTGTTCTAACTATGTCAATCATTTGGTGCATGGAAAAATATTATTTTTATTTGTCAGGTTGTGTAACTGATGATAAACTTCAGTATATACATGTAGCCTGGCTGCAGAGTACATGTAGTTCTTTCCTGAATGCAATATATCAAGTAGCTTTCTTCATGCCTCAGTACTAGAGGTCCATAATCCTACAGTACTGTATCCTTCTATCCTTTAGGTGATTTCCTTAATAAAATATTGACTATATGCTTCCATAATTAGGAAGTATAACTACAATTGACAATTATTAATAAAATTAATCCATATCAATCAGTTTATTGTTCTGCAACAAAAAGTACTGTACATGAAGAAAGACTTATCAACTATCCTACCTTGATCAGTAACACACTGATGTATTGCTTCTCTGATTCACTAAGATGACAAGCAGATTTGGTTCCAATAATACTGTTCACAACAGACATCATGCTTTTCATGTGTCCAATATCCATCTTCATTTTCCAGTGACATGATTCAAGGTGATCAGACAAGACTTCCAGAGAATGTTCAAAGATCTGTGTCACTAGCACTCTTGGAATTTGCATGTCAATGGCTGATTGTATCAAGCTAATAAAATTGAGTTAATTTGAAAAAGATTACATTAAAAAATATACATTGTACAGTAAATATAACCATATGAGGTAAATACACTAGCCTGCAGTCAGCATGACCTAATAAATGACAAGGGCTTAACCTTCAACTCCCATAAGTGACCAAGACAGAATTTCTTCTTACTATATCTATACAATATCATGTAGACAAGTGATGAGAATTAAGAAAAGTACCAATTATGGAATTACCAATTGATCCAATACTTAATTCTCCAAACTAACATAATAAGAATTGTTTGGCAGACAGTAAGGAGAATTACTTATGAGATCTTAAAATGTGATCTTTTTGCTGTAGATTTTAAGCCAGAGAGTTACCTTAACATAAGCAATGCTGTCCTCAAACCACCATCATTATAGGCATCTAGATGCCCTCTTACAGCAGAGAGAATCAACCTTGATATAGGATGTGACAACCCAGACAAACTATGCAGAATTTTGCTTGATGTTGATGTTACAGTAACATGACCACCTCCAGATGTCTGAAAGAACTTTAATCTGTAAAGGTGATGTACAGAATTCATTATTGATGATAAATACCAAAGTAATAAGCAAGGTTGGAGAAAATATCAACATAACAACATTGTTCAAGCTCCACCTTAAAAAATATATTTTCTAAATCATGGACTGGGAACTGTGGACCAGATGCAGAACATGAACCACATTTTGATGTTACAGAATTAAAATCTTAAGCATTGTGCAGATCACAAAAGAGGAATCTAGAAACAAAAACAACATTGTTGATTTTCTTAATATCTCATAACCCAAAAAGTATGTTTAAGGACGGTACTAAATGGTAGTCCACGTAGTCCACAGTCCCAAGTTCCTTGTCCACACTTTGTACTTTTCAATGACCCAAAAAAGCACTCAGCTGAGCCGAGCTGGGTAGATGTTTAGGGGTAAATCACTCGCATTTGATTAAAAGAACTTTGGAAGGAATACTAAATAGTTGACTTTCCAGACACAAATGCAATGTGAAAAAAACAACAACCTGCCAGAAGGTCCAAGAGATGATTTCACTAAATCCTCTAAAGTATGCAGCAAATTTCTTATTTTTGAATCATCCAGAGGCTGCACCAAAACCTAGTTAAAATAAAAAAACATTAAATTCTATAAGAGTAAGCTTAATGATCTAAAGAACTCTTAAAAATCAACTCTTCATACTGCAAATTAAACAACTGGCATCATGATGATGCATGCCATACAGTGGAATACCTGAGAAGTCTTCGAAGAAATTCTCGAAGAATTACTTTTATCCCCCATCAAGAACTTGAAATGCACAGTTATCTCTGAATTTCATCGCTCCTTTCATGACATTGAAGTAAATTTACCTACATCTCTACAACGGACGTTCGAAGTGTCACATCCGCCGCCATATTGTTTTCTCCGTTTAAAAAGAGTCTGGGTTCTACTCCTACCAGATCCTACGCGTTTACTTAGGGAAAGCCTGGTAGATTTCTTGTAATCGGCCATCTTTCCCGCTGAACATGAAGAAGCTTAAAACTATCGTTACGTTGCGTTTCGCTCTTTATGGCTGCAAGAACAGACCTTTCTTTCATATTGTGGCAACGAACAGGAAACGACCCCGAAACTATGGAGCTCTTGAGCAGGTATATATCGTACTTTAGTTAAAAGGAAAAAAGTTCCTTGAAGACGGGGAAAATTAGATGGTTGTGTGTCGATGTACATGCCTGGATTGGAACTGTTGTCGGTGCAATTTTGTATTTGTGCTTTCATTGAAATGTGGAAATCATATTCCTAGGTGGGAACTTATGATCCTTTGCCAAACACTCGAAATGAAAAGCTAGTGAGCCTAAATATGGACAGAATAAGGTAAGGTCTATAAAAATGCGCTGAATTTTTATTTAATATTATTGATCCATATCAGTAGCTTATAAGCTTTTGTCTATACCCTCTCCATACCTTTCAAGTAGTGAGTACACCTGAAATTTCAATGTGATCGTGATATCCTCTTTAATGCATTTTTTTCAGATACTGGTTATCAGTTGGAGCCAGACCTTCCCGACCAGTAGCCATTTTATTAGGCCTGGTAAGTTGATGACAAATTTTGGCTTGAAATAAGTTCTTCTCCCTTGAGCCAGGTTTTTCCTGGGTACATAATTCTTGGCCACAGCACTCCTGTATTTAGCCCAAATGGGCATGTGACCAAATTGGGGTATATTATTCTGGGGCTTGAGTCTTGGGTAAGGATATTGCATGACAGTGGTTGCATACTTATTTCTTTTCTGTAAGAGATATTTTTTTTTATCACTAGAAGATAAATTCGTATCCACAGGCAGACATGTAATGTTCTGTGTATTGTTATACTGATACTGATATATCAATCTAAAACAATTTTAAACACTTTTTAAGAGGACTGAATACATACTAGATCACCTGCATGTAAACTCAGCTCACACAACTTCAACTTTCACATGAGAATAAAACAAGCACTCTTTGAAAAATATTTACCCTTCTTTGTGCAAAAAGTTGAATTCATCATGGAAATATTGATAAATGAAAAAAATTCTCAGTGAAAAGTAAAATCACCATGATACAGTAAATGGTTTAAGTGTGGGGGAAACATTTTATAGTGAAGTCTGATTGTCTGGGTGAGTGTAGTCCTGGGAAGGACTCTTGTTAGTAGTGGTGACTGTCATTTCAACAACCTGAGTGAAAGTCATCATCAGAGTCTGGTGAATAGTTGATGTAAGTCACATGTACTAAGTCCAGTTTGTGTAAACCAATTGGTCATTCTAGCTGTGATGCAATGGGCTGCAAGACTCAAGTGGCGTTAGTCAATCGTGATTGGTCTGTTTCAATCTGTTGGCCCCTTTACCGATGGATCAGTAAATCTGGTTACCATGATGTGCTACTTATTTATATGTATTAGTTCAGTATTTTCCCTTATACAGTGACGACATCATTTTTTTTGAAAAAGAGAAATTCCTGTATTTCATCTGTATCTGTATAATAATACTTCTTAGCATGTTGTGCACCATTTTGTTCTGAACTAGAAGCCTTTGGAAAAGTGTGGACTTATCACCCAAACTATCAGTGACATTAACTCAATAGTACAATTAAATGTCAACAGAGTATTTTAACTTATCAGAAACAAACTAATTTCTCTTCATAAGGCTGGAATTCTTCCACCTCATCCTCGCAGCCTGGTTACAGCAGCAAGGAACCGTGAGGCTCTTGCCGTGGGAGCTCAAACCTTAGATGCTTTGGACGAGGCAGAAAAAGATGAAGAAGCTGAAGATACTGAAAAAGGCACTGAGAGTTAAATTGGTATCAAAAAAGAATTGCAAAAAGACAGATTCCTGAAAAATGTTTCCAAGTGCTGTCAAGTTTTCTCAAAGTGATATCAGGAGCTGTATCATCACATGTAGGACTGAAGAGAATCATTTCCTCTGGTCATGATGTCGTGATGGGTGGAAGCAAACATCAGCATCAAAATGCTTTACTTCTTGCACTTATTGTTGCTTCATCAGTCTAACTTGACATCCTCAGATTTTTTATTTTCAATTACAACTGGGAATCATCGAGTTAGACTCGTGTGAGATACATGAACATATTGGTAAACTACAATGGAAGCATCAAAGGTGTTACAGCTATGGTTATTTTAATCCTGTAAAATAAATACATTCTTTTTGCAAATTGGAAGAAGTTATTTTGACCTAAGTTTGTATGAGGACAAATAAAAGGCTTCAAAATACAAAAATTTGTCTAAATCAGTTCCTCACCTTATAGTTCAATTTAATTTTATGTACCGGTATATTATAATTATAGTAACATTATGGTATGTGTATTTTTAATTTTATAGAACTTACTGATGTGTACATTTTTAGCGATACGCATGGAGGTTTTGCAGGAAGTCTGACATGTTTGGACATTAATCAGAACAAAAGCTTCTGATGTATATGCTTGAGTTACTTACACTCTTTATCTCTCTCTCACTCTTCAAAGTGAAGGGACGAACACACCTTTGAAATAAAACTACTTTTGATAACAATTTAATTGGATTTAAATTACTTCATTTACAAAACATTATGCTATTTGTGTTTTCTTGAATTTTCCAAAGCTTTCCTATTAGCTTCTGCTCCAAATAATGTTGAAAAAATTGATCTGCAATAAAATGAAATACTAACATTAATATTATTACCATCTGGGAAAATTCCATTATGATAATCCTAATACTATCATTATTATACTATTCAGCACCTAATGGTATTGAATAACGGAATTTCTACATGAATAGTCATGTACAGTCAAACCTGGCATTCCCACAGGGTGACTGCTTAATGTCAGGTTCCACAGAATTGAAGTTTTCCATTTTATGCCATAACTGTGCACCCAATGTACAAAAATGTGCTCAGAAATACAACTAGCATTAATTGCAATAGATATCTTGGATTAAGGGGACTTGAAAGCTTGTTCTTAGTAAACACCTGTTGAGATTTGACTTGTTAATTTACTTGGTAGTTATAAAATACAACCACCAACATAAGCTTGTGTGTAATATGATGTTCTTATTCCTTGGTACATGTGACTTTGAGTGGAAATGATTCTGTTTTAACCATCACTTCCTTACAATAACAATCATGTCAACTTGCACACATTGACATAGAAACCTACCTCTCAATGTCCAGTTCATCTTTAAGCCTTGAGTTGTCTCCTATTGATACAACATTCTTAATAGCTCTCAGAACTGAAGTGTCTGCTGCTAGGAACTCTGACAACCAGTTGCAACTTCCAGTAACCACATCCTATAAGAAAAGAAATTATAATTAACTATGATTTTTTAATTTGTAGGATATAAAAATGCAACATATTTATTTTTTTATTCAACTAACAATGCTTAAATGAACTCAAGCTTCTTCAGCAAGAGGATGAAAACAAATACTGTACTTCTACAGATCTAGGTTCTGTGGGTGGAATGGCACAGTTAGTATAACACAGCATACCTTTGGTTTAAGGTTCCCCAACAATTTCATGGTAGTTCTTTGTTCTCGTGACTTTTTATAGAGGTAGTTTTTCAACAAAGTGATGGGTCCAAAATTACAAAAAAAGGATTGTTCTATAAAATTCTATGCTGAATGTTGGGCTACCACTCCACTGACTAAACCTGAGATCTGCTCTTAAACTGATAATTTTTTTAAGATGCAATATCAAGAGAAATAATAACATGAGAAAACATGGGATCACTACATTAGAATTATCACTTGATCATTCATTAGGTAGCTAAAATAAAATTAAAATTTGGAATGCTGGTTTTCATGGCTGACGGAAAAAACTATGAGCAAGGGCAAGATCCAACGACAAACTCTATCTTTGCGTGATGCCAAGTTTGAGAATTAAGTCTGTACCACAGTAGGGGGGGGGGGAGGTGAGCCCTCTCCCCACAGTATCCTTTTGCATGATCCCAAACAACAGGTACCTCCCACATTTTGATTACAGTAAAACTGTCAAATGTCAAGTATGAGCTATGAGATCAATATTGGCTGGCTGGCTGTCTGTCAGTTTATTGTCTGCACAACATTTCACAGGAAAACAATTAATAGACAACTGCTACCATACAAAATAACCACACAAACATTGAAATGTTCATAGGATATGTAAATGGAAACTAAAACAGACAAAAAAACATTATACAGTTTTAAAACACCTTGACTTGCTGGCTTGTGAGTGTGTTTACAACTCTTGTGAGACAACTTGGTTTGATTCTGACAGCCCTAACATACTCAACCTTGCCATAACAATGTGTACACATACCAGATCATTTGATTGCTGTGTTAATCATTACAAGATCTTAAATATCAAGGTAAAAGTAAGGTTATTATTAAAATGAAACAGATATAATATCGGTAGAGAAAGTATCAGTAATTACCTTTGTATTTGGTAGCTCACCATCAACCAGTCCCAGTTGAAGTGCATGTGGAAGGGTAACCTTTTCTCCCCTTCCCAGTAGCTGCAGTGCTTTCTGTTTCCCTAGTAACCTGACAAGTCTTGCACCACCACCCCACCCTGGTGACAAACCCATCTTGACCTGAACAAACCTGATCTCTGCATCCTGTGACATGAGTCTGAAGTCACATGCTAATGATAACTGGTGAAGGAAGAAGATAAGATTTGCTTGACACCAAATTATCAACAAGAAGAACAATGCAGTCTGGTCAGCAAAGCACTCAACAATTCATGATCCTCTTTACCTAAGTTACATCCATTAGTCATACCCTAGAAAGAACCGTCATCAGATGATCCGTTCGTCTCGCCTATGGGAGATAGTTTCATTCTTTGTACCAACCAAAAAACAAACAAATAACTTGTGGCAAAATAGTTTCTTATTAGGGTCTCCGAATATGTTTTTGGATGATATTTAATCAGTACTCAAGAGTGGAGGGGGACAGGGGGGCTGGAGCCCGGGAGAAATAGGATCGGGATAGGGCGGGAGTGGGAGCAAAAATCAAAAGGCACTCGTTTGCTGTTTATTACTGCTCGTCACCCAATCAAAACCAGTTCCCAGCAAAGTTTTTTTTTACTTCCTTTTAACGTCCACCGAGACGTAAAATAAAATTTTACAAGTGAGAAAACGTAATTTTTTTCAGGCAGAAAAGAAAAAAACCGCAAAATACTGGTGAAATTGGAGTCGTTTGCGTGATAGGTTATGAATGAATTTGTCAGTGTCTCGCGAGCAGTAACAGTCGAAATTCTCCCGCGAACAAAGTGCGGTCTGCGCGGTGTACACAGTCTGTGTTGCCTGCACGATCTGCGTTCAGCGTTTTGGTCTGACTGCCCTTAAGCTGCCCTCTTTATGCATTTAAACTACTTACCTCAGCTCCTCCACCGAACGCTCTTCCTCCAATAGCTGCCACGCTGACAAGAGGAAGCCTTCCCAGGCGACTCAGAGTTCTTTGCATAAAAGCACACATTAATTGTCCTTCTTCTGGGGTATTGATCGTCTTTATTACACTCAAATCAGCCCCTGAACAAAAAGACCCTTCGCTGCCATGCAAAACAACAGCTTTTCCATGCTGCCATTGCTCAAGCTCGTCAACTACTTCTGCAAGTTTAACCATCATGTACCCTGTAAGTGCATTTTTTCTTGTAGGATTGGTAAGAGATATCACTGCAACTCCTTTGTTATTCCCTGTTAGCTTGGATAGAGTCACATCACCGGTCCCTAGCACTCTAAATTTATCTCGTACCTCAGTTTCGTCAACGAAATTGTCTCCGATTCTTGGCGCAGAGCAAAGTAATCTTGTAAAATTATTCCTAGCGACTCTAATTCTTGGGAAATGAAAATGCATGATTCTTCAATATCATTCAATCACGATCGGCGAAAATTAGTCAAAAGACACAAATTTCAGCCGCCATATTGGCCGAGGAAGGAGTCAGGAGCCTGAAAAAGTCATACCCAGTTCTCCTCCTCATAGATGCCCTCCACAGGACTGAAATAGAGGAGGATTTTCCTTATACTCTAATTTTTTTAGAGAAAAATGCGAAATGCACTCGGTTGGACTTGACATCTCAGTTTTACCCAATTAATGTTCCGAGTTCAGTAGCTCCCAGCCACTTTGATTCACGGAAGCATATAACTCCTATATGCTCCTGTTTGCCACTATGAAGTCCTCGATACCGCCACCTCCTTTCTTTCGCCCCTGAACAAGCTTCGATTTTTCTCAGAGTTTTCAAGGAAAAACATACAATAAAATATTTACACCAATAATCTACAATTCGGACCATTGTATTTTCAAGTCTAGACGAAAATGAGTTTAATAAACATCGTTACAAGTCCAGGTTACAGGTGTTCGACTTGAAACTACAGGTGTTAAAGGTTTGATAAAACGTTTACACGCGGGATACTAGGATCGACTTTCGCTATTCACAATTGGACTACATACACTTGCTCGATATATAGTACGGTCACTGACGATAAGATTTCATCATTCTTCTTAAATCATCGATACTTATTACATTTGCTTGAGTTACAATGAAAGTTTGACTTTTTTAAAGCAATTGTTAGTACTATTTACACAAACATTATAAGAGAACCGTCTAATCATTCAGAAATGATCCATTTTTCCATAACGTGGCTATTTTGGATTTAATTAAATTTTAAAAAATTAGGCATCCTAAAGTCTTGAAAGAAAATCTTTCTTGTAAACTTTGTCTTTCACAGCTAGTAAAGGAAGATCTATTTGACCTACGTAAAATGTTAAGACATTTTAGATTAAATATTTATGATTGATTGAAATAAATCAATTTTTATCAATACACTTAGGTGTACAACAATGCGTTTCGCCGCAGAATAACTTTTTCACCTGGGTCAGTATTGTTTGAAGGTGACATTTTCTGTGCTTACCAAATCATGACTACTTTAAGCGATGGTACGCTTCCATGACAAATATTTTCAAACTAAGTGAATAAATCAGCAAATCAAATAGGAAGGAAAGGAAAACCAGCATTAATTTTGGTAGACTATCTCGCTGATGTTATCTTAAAAAGTCACTGGATTCCATAACACTTAAATTTTTCCCTAGGTATGGTAGCCCTTTTCGTCGATATTCGATATCTCGTCAGTTTCTGTATCTCAAAACCCCAGCTGTTTAACTGGTAGGTGTGTCTTTTCAATGAGGAGACCACTATTTTTAGGCCAGTTTCTTTCACCTGTAAAAAAGTTACAAACTTCCTCTTTTCTTGGACAGGTGTTGTTCATTCCGCATGTGCCACTTCATAGGACTATCTGGATCAAGAGCTGCTCCGCCCCAATAGTTCTATTGAATCACGTGACACCCAGAAAGCATCATGCATTGTAGAATCGAGGCACTCGTACTTGATAAACTGCTCACACTGTTGGGAAACGTTGATGAGACTCACTAGTTGAGAGATGTTCGCCCCCATGAAGTATATGTTGCGAGAGTAGGATCCCTCGGCTTCATATGCGTCCACCAATGTCCTGTTCTCGCTGTCGTGACTCATGTCAGATGTGACGTGGAAGGTAGTAATCCTCGTTCACCATTAGGATCAATCAGACAGATTCCACTTGTTGTCTTAGGTTAAAGCTTCTTTAAGTCACTGCAAGATTTTGATAAAATTGTGAAAAGAAATAAAACGTTAGAGTGAGAAATCGGCCAAGTTGTATGAGGAATTTTTTTGTATGAGAAAGATATCGATTCAGCCATCTAAACTCTCAAAGCTCCTCCACTTTCGAGTGTAAGTGGGCATCATAAAAATGACACGGAAACATATCCCTGGATGGGGAATTATGTGTTATGAATTAGTAGGAGGGGCCACAGTAAACCCAATCTCGTAAGAACAAATTCGAGCTTCAGTGTAACTCTCACCTGATATTCAGGTGGCGCACCACTCCAGAACGTCATTTCTATTGAATCATGTGAAACCCAAAAGCCATCTTCCAATGTAGATCCTCTGAACTCGTACTTGATGAACTGCTCACAGTGCAGGGACACGTTGATGAGGCTCACCAGTTAAGAAATGAGAGTAGATTCCGTGGGTTCATATCCGTCCACCAAAGTCCTGTTTTCGCTGTCATGTCTTATGACAGTCACGCCGATTTCATTTTTTATCATTCATGTCTTCGTCGGGTGGGCCAATGTTCACAGATACACAAGAACTTTCCAGATGACACTCGTATCTACAGTCACCGTTGGCTCAATTTCCATGGTTAAATTTATTTCTTTAACAACGTGTTCTTGAAGAACGCATCCTCCTAATGTTTTCACCTCCCAATTCGCAAACCGCAGATTTTGGAAACCAAACCCTGCAACGAAACGAAACGTAAAACCCAGGCTAAAATTAAAAAAAACCCTAAGCTACTTAACGTAAGCGTAACGACTGCAACGTGCTCAAAGTTTACCCAGTGAGCATCAGCTGGTTTTGTCATGCAAATTTGAGAAAGAAATTTGATATTTCATCCAAATTCTTATCAGTCCTTATTTATTTGGCTGCTTTTTGCCTCAGAGCTACTTTTCCCGTTTACTTTTTACTGACTACTGTTAGCGAGTACCTTTGATCAACCATGTTAAGTGCGTCTTATTTATAACTGAAACAGGTTTTCCCTAACGAGCCAATTCATATTAACCTGGTAAAAGATCACCTGTCATGGCTTATATGCGAAACTACGACAAAAAATAGTCATCTATATTTTCGTAGCTGAAGTCGATCAAAAAAGAAGGCAATTATCGAAGAGTATTCATCACAAACTTTCGAGCATTTAAGTCTTTAAGAGTAACCCATCAAGACAAGGCAAAAACTGCCTGTCGACATTCTTGTGAGAGGCATGTACATCTTCCTTTCATGCCTAACTCACTTTTAATTGAACTGGTGTTTTGGTTTTATTTTGAGGGCCGAGTGAGATCGCCCACACGTCTCCATTTCACTCTTGAAAATGACGGCGCGTCTTGAGTTAGGAGTAGGTCTTATTCTTAACCAAAATACCTTGCCATTGTACTAAAGCTTTGTAAATGGGCAGTCAGCGATATAAATGAAATTCCTTGCCGCCTTGCACTGAGAGGATTGGCTGACATTAGTCAATAACACAATTTTGGCGGCATGTAGATCTCCTTTCCTGTTTCGAGAAATTACTCGTATAGCTCGTTAGCCTGTTGTTAAGTTTGGTCTCTAATGTACTTAAGCTTGCAAAGAACGTCTAATATCATGAGGGGAAAGATTTGCTTTTCCGTGACAGAGTGATGACCATTATCCCGCGCTTATTTGCTCACCAGTAATTATTACATAAAACGGACCCTCGAAACCAAGCTGAGTTCGGGATTAAAATTTTCCACAAAAACAGACTGATGTTGGACCTTATTGATCGAAGAAACAAATTTGGCGCTTACGCACATGTAGACTCACATACAATGTGGTGTCGTGAAATGCAGCTTTACGAAATTTGCAAAACCGTACTGAGCCAGGGATCAACTGAATTAACGAAATTTGTATAGGTAATGACATGATTTTCAGTGCAGTCTGGGATAAATCAGCGCGCATAAATTTTTCAAAGGTTAACCGAATTAGCCTGTAGGGCGGGTGAAATTTGTAGTCTATTAAAAATATGATAATCATGCAATTACTAGTAATAATATACACGCAAAAATGTCGAGCTTTTTCGTCAAGAATTCGTTTTAAACTTTTACAACCTCTTCGAGAATAATTGAGCGTTTGTATCCTTTCTCTGTTAGGTATCGGTCGACAGCAGTAACCATTACATGAAAGCCATCAAGCTTGTAGTCTTCCCCGTCTTTCGTAAGAACAGTTACGTAAAATTCCTCGAGAATTTTTATCCAGGGCCTCCGATTCATACTTTCATATCCGTTTTTGGAAGCCAGACTTTGTTTTTCCTTTTTCGGTGTTTTTCCTATTTCTCTCTCTTCCCCAAATTGTTCCATAATGAGAGGGTCAATACTCAGCCTGACAAATTCTCAGTGTCTTATGTTAACTACATATGCCGATACGTCTTTCCTAGCATGTAACAATAGTCACAAACTCACATAAACCAGTAAAACAATGATCGTCTCATAAAAGCCCAGTGAGATCAGAGATTGTATTGCTGAAACTTTTCTCAGAATATGCTTTCAGTCAACCAGAAGTTTGCTCTTAGTAATCGTGTTCTCTGTTCACGAAATTAAAGAAGAAGAGGAGGCAGAACGTGAGGAACAATTTTACTGAAACAAGATGTAAAAATTGCAGAAGCTGAAGAATATAATACCACTATCACCTCTTTTCACAGAGGTAGGATTATTTCATTTGTGTCTTCAGGAACACCTCCCATCTCACGGATGTCTAAAACTGCACATATTACAGCTATCCTTAGGGCAACACTCTCCTGTGCCACCAAAACCCAATGCCGATCTGACTCCAAACAAAATACTAAGGATAAAAGACAAAATTGCAGCTCCAACTTTGAGAAAAGCTGAAGAACTCATTTTGGAGAAGATAATTGATTGTTTATTTGAAAAAAAGTATGCAAAACACTGTCGCTCGATTATCTCATTAAACAGGAAGGCTTAATATTAAAACAGGTGCCATAAAATTAGTTTTGAGAAAGAATGCAAATTACAGCGTATTATGATAGCCACCAGATAAAACAGTTGTGCCATCCAGTGTCCTTAGTAAATTAGAGATCGCAGACGTCACGAAACGTGGCTTATGTTAACTGAATTATAGGGGAAGTTTTCTTTCGATACAATTTTACTTAAAATACAATTACAATGTGACGCCTGCATTAATTTTCTGAAGAATTTAAGATGTCGTGATAAAATATGCAGGCTGAGTCAATAAACACACATGGTATTATCAACTTGCGATCTTTGCGTCTAGTTGCGAAATATGTTTTTCCCAAGGTCTGTTGAATTTGGTAACAAAGGGAGATTTCTAGAGGTGAATGTAAATTATCGTGTTTACTTAAAAGGGTAAGCACTCTCGCATCATTGCATCAATGATCTGCGTTACTGTTCTAGCGAGAAGACCCCAAACAAGCGTTGATTCTCCTAAGTATTCATAAAGAGTAGTGTACTCTAGAAAGCAAATTATTTTTAGCATGTGCTTTCATTTTCAATGAATCATTCAATGGATTGATCTATTGATTGCCCGCGCTCGGTTCATACGTCTGCTATGTCGAATTTAATTCATTTAAGTGTGACTGAAATGCGACTGTTGATTCAAACGTCGCTCTTTCACCACTCTTAATTCAGAACTGAAACAGTGCTTAGCAGTAACTGCAAGAGGAGAGGTGGAGTATGTTGTTACCTTTTTATTGAATATTTTCGCCTGTTAAACGATTTTTTATTCTAGTGTTGGGAGACATGTGCTTCCCACAAGGCATAGCAGTCTTAGAGCCGTTTTGTTTTTCATTAGTTCGACCGCGGATTTCCAAAAGCTCCCACATAATGTAAGTTCTTTAGTTGAAAAAAAAGGACAATTCAGTGTTTGAAATTCCCAGGTTTACTAATCGCTCGTATATTTTCCATTTAGCGAATCGTGCAAAGGTTAAGAAGTGTATGTGAATCTGACCTGATCTCGATTGTTGGGGTTTGTGAATAAATTGTGGATTTGCGACTGCAGAGTACCATTACAGCGGACGAAAATGCGCAAAAACTCTTTATTTTGCAAAACATTCTTCGCAGGTACAAGGCGAGTACAGCTTAAAATGCAGCAATATGTGCAGCAATATGAGAAGGAAAGAAGAATTATACTTAGTTGTATGAAACAAAAAAGAAAAAACTGAAGTTTACGGAAAGAATCCTTTCTCTTCAAGTTCACTTAAAATACACATTAAAATGCTGCTAATGCACAGGGCTACCATGAATCACGATTAGACTGCATACACTTGCCCAAACGTCTCGGAAGTTTTCTACAAGATGACAGGCAATTTGATGAGAAAGATTTGCTTTTCCAACACGAGGTGATGATCTTAATTAGGTAATAATTTTACATCCAACCCTGCAATTTGGAATAAATACGCAAGCATGGGTAGTTTTTTTTTCCAAAACTGTGACATTGCGAAAACCCTTACGGTGCGTGTAAATGTCGAGAAATCGGGGAGTGCTTGTTTCTTCTTAAGGGAGCAAGAAATAAGCTCAAAATATTTCTGGCAGTGTGCAACTTTGTATTCTTAATTTCAATTTCCGCGCTGTTGGAGTTTGATTAATGTTCTCTCGAACAATCGACACTTTTTGGTTAATTGAAAATTGGCATCTTTTTCATTCCACACTGTAGTATTGGCAATCAATTATGAATTTACGTTGCAAAGCGTTAATTGCGTGGGCGAGTATAAACGAACGTCTCCGCAAATTTTCCCTACGTAAATCGACCAATGAAAACATCGCAAGTGGTCGTGTGTAAACTCTTGGCTGAAGCCTTCAACAAGCATAGAAGGTTGAGGTGATGGAACCTGTAAACGCTCCTCCATTTATTCTTTTTCGAGGATTGTTGCTCTACGCAGTTTTCATCACCACATTAGAGTCATCCACTGTTTCTCGATCAGCATACTTCACAACGTTGACAAATAAGCAGCTTAAAGGCTTTGTGGTAAAACGGTTTGAGTCTCCTGGTCAAATTTGGTGCAGTCAGTCTTGTTTGAAAAACGCCTGGTGTACTTCAACAAACTTCAAACTTGCTCCCCAAACTTCGAAGTCTGATGGCAAAGGAACTTGCGAACTAAACAAGCACGATGAATCTGCTGTCAAAGAAAACATACATTTGCAGTTCGAGGAAGGTGCCACTTTCTCAATGCCTCTTAAGGTAACGAACAGCCTAAAATGTCTCATTTGGCTTTAAGGGGCTCCGCAAGTTGATGCAATTGCAGTTTAATTAACATTTAAATTGTTAGTTGGCGTTTAATTTTGAAATTAACCAGTGTGTCTTCATATTGCTAATATTTCATTTTTAAAATGAATTGACTCATTTGGGCTTAAGTCTTTGGCGCCACATTGTTTTTTTTTTAGCAATTTTTAGAATTGTAAGGCTGAAAAGTGAAAATTCATGACCACAGCACTATAATTGAAGTCGAGCAAAAACCTAACTTCGATATGAAAAATAGATGTCAAAAATAGAATATCAAAATAGATATAAAAAAATAGCTATTTTATAAAAGCGCTGGTCGGCACTTTCTATCGATTTACCAGCCTAATTACTAGTATGAGGTGTTGGGAGAACACGAGTATTACTGTAAATCATGAGTCAAAAGGGATTGTTGTACTAACATATCCCGTGTGCGATATCGTCGCTAAAATGATAAAAGGCTCGATTTATTGCTAACTAGCCGACAGGTGCTCTTCACGGCAAAGTGTGTTAGAGAAACTTAGCATACATTCTTAAGACTATTACTCTTCTCAACGCTTTTTTTTCGTTTTTCGATTTACTAACAATGAATCTCCTTTACAAAGAAATTATTTACGCTAGATTTCTACATTATTCTTGAGTATTCTGAATTACGAGCAGCTGGCATCAGACAAAATTTAATCCTTGATTTCGTGTATGCCACGATCTTAATACAGTCGAAATGCGAGCAGTAAAAATCTAACTTTCCATTTTCTTCTGTTGTGAAGTTTTAATCGGAGCTGGTCTTTTTTGAAAGTGAAATGAATGTATGCCTTGAATAATGACATGAATTGATGAACAATGAGGGAAAGACAAGAGAACAAAAATTAGTCACCATTTCTTCGACGAAGGGCAAACCCTACCTTGAATAACTTGAAGGTAATGCCGGCTTATATGAATCATCATCTATACAAATATTTCTGTTCATAAACTTCATTCACCATGATCAGAACCACAGCTTTTTTCTTAGTTCTGGAAACACGCTAAATATTTCGCTCAGGAATTAAAGCACGGAGAAAATAAAGCTATCAGAAGCCGCAAAGACTGATTAATTTCAGTATAAGACGAAGAAAGAAGAAAATGACCTGCTTATGTCAGTCTTTACGAAATATATTTCTGGCGTGTAAAAACGCGTTTGACAAAATCTATGTTCTTATCGGCTACTATTCAGTCTAAGTGCTAGCATTTTGAATTCTCATGCAAAATCTTTCGGACTGAAGGTAACATATACTGTGCAGGCCTTAGAAGCTGTCTTTTCTAGAGGAAACTAATTTAACAAAATTGTAATTTGTGCCGGTGACGGGTTAAGCGAACGGGTTTGTTGTTTTTGTTTGTTTGTTTTTTATTTAAGTTCTGCCAAAACAGATGATAAATTTGGTACATAAGGCTTGCGGTATCGAAACAGCTTTTCAATGAAAGGCGAGCTCAATGTTCTTTTTGAAACTGATATCAGCGCATTATGGAGATCTTCTCTAATTTCATTTCTATACTGATATGAAATGGATGGATGTGTAGATAGGTGATTGGATGGATCAGAAGTGACCCATTAGATGAAGGGATGGATGTTTCAAAGAAAATACTTAACTTTCCGGTTGTCTTTATAATCCTTCAGTTGAACAAGAGGTACAAATGAAAGTTTAAATGCCCTGTTTCAAAGCTGACGTTAGCCCTTCATCTTTTGCTCTGACGAAGGGCTAACGCTCGAAACGTCAGCTTTCAACTCTTTTCGGTGGCCAAGTTACGTCATCTACTCAGTTGTTAATATTGTATCACCCTGTCATACTCTCCCACAGAAGCAGCACCTCAGCTTCTTTAAAAAATTACCCTCTTTATATAGTTTTAAATTCATAATTCTTGGTGACAGGCTTAATAACGGCAGAAATCGACTATTACATCAGTTTTCATTGATACGGCAATTAATTTTTGGTCCGAAATTTTACATCGGGCTCGAATCATTGAGTCCAAGAAAAACTTAGAAAGCTGAGCATTTCTATAATTCCACGGTACATTCATATTCGTGTTCTGAACAGTTTTTTACGACGTATTGTCTGTTACTGCTTCTTGTTAGGGCTGCCAAATAACCGACAGTTGTAAAAATGGAGGTGCTTGCGTGTATGACAAGGAAAAACAAACTTATTCATGCAATTGCAAGCCGCCTTGGACCGGAGAAACTTGTGCTGAGCTGGGTAAGAACAACTTTGAACAGTAGAATGAAGATGGTAAAGTTCTGTCAGTCAAGCTAAATATAACGCAAAATATTTGTCTCCGAGACTTGGAAACAAACAGATCAACAAAAACCAGGAAAACGAAACAAAACAAAACGGAGCTTTTTAAGAGAGAAGTTAAGTAGAAAATTGACAAGAATGGAAAAGATAGAGGGGGATTCAAGATTTATGTATGTGCGTATGTATAATTTTAATTATGTATAATTTTTTTATTTGAAATAAATATCAAAATGTCCAACATTTAATTTTTTTTTTAAGTTAACAAATCAGCAGATCTAAGTTTGACATTTGTTGAAAAATAACCAATCACAAAGCGTTTTGTACATGGCATAACGGAAAAATGACTGCGCGTCAGCGGAGTCAAATCGGCCCCACGCCTTTCACGTAAGGGTCCACAATTTCGCTATATTCTTTTTACATAAACGTTGCTTAGGACGATTAGCAAAATAGTATTGACGAAAATTATTGACGTTATCTTATACTCCCAAAAAGTTACTTGTGACAGCCATCCCTGCAAAAACAATGCAACTTGCACAGATGGAGTCAACGGATATAACTGCAGCTGTGCACCAGGATTTCACGGGACACAGTGTGAAAAGATTGAAGGCCTGTCTTGTTCATCAGGTTTGTAGAGACGTGTATCGTATTTTGATGACATGATCTGGGAGCGCAAGCTTCCTTCTACAAAGCAAAGTCTCGTGGAGATGGGCGTGACCATTCAACATTTTAGAGAGTTTCATATGGGACATTAATTATAAGTTATACTATAGCTGTACATCAGGGTTTCATGGAACACAGTGTGAAAAGATCGAAGCTTGTCGTGTTCAATAGCTTTGTAGCAATAGCTTTTAGCAATCAGACTAAAACAGACTTATTACAAACAACTGCATGTAATTCAACAAATTATGCATCTATAGACATGTGCCTAAAGTGTAATTTATTACTTTCAAATGGTTGATCACAATAGTATAGTTAATAATATATCACTTGCCGAAAAGCAACAATTGCTCCTAGGCCTTGTCAGTCTTAGGTAGTTTTTGGGCTAAGTGGTACTCCTCTTGTATTCTGCATAGCCATATATTTCAAAGGCTTTTGGTTGAAGCCAATTTTTTAATGGATCTCTTATACGCCCTTTTCGCTCATTGCGTTGAAACACGGGTGCATGGCAGCCATTTATGCGCGAGTGTTCCGCTGGAAACCTAAAATAATTTATGCAGTTGACAAAATGTTTATTGGCAAGATGTCCTGATATTTGCTTGTGGACTGATTGAAATCTAGTCTCTTGAAGTATTAATTACCAATAACAATGGTTGACAAACGATATATACAAGGTACTCAATCCTGGACCGTTTCTTCTGAATTGATTCGTGAAATTCTCCTTAGAGAACGCAGGAAAGGGAACTTCTGCTTCATAAATCATTCATTTTTTCCCCTGCAGCTTACCGGATTGTTTTTGAGCAGCTCACCACCGAAAGTTATGCCATCAAAGCACATGCCATTTCATCAAGTCTCACGGAATTTACTGTGTGCCTTTTTGTTAAATGGAAGGATACAAATTCAAATAGTTACCAGTGTGTATACAGCTATGCAGAAGCCTCTGGTTATGTTGTTGGAAATGCCATATATGTCTGTTTGAATACTCCAAACATTGAGATCAATGTGGATAACGACGGAAACAGGTAAGTGATGTACATGTATCAAACCCAACTTCTGAAAATAGAATTGAGAAAATTCAAGCGCTCCGCAGAACTCTCCTTGACTTTTTCCGGGGCGCTCAGCATTGCACTGAAGCAATTTCTGTGGAACTAAAGGATGGGGGGGAAAACGCAGTGCCATATTATGATAGAACGAATTAACGAGAACAGTCAACGAAAATTCTCGGGAAATGCCGTAGAATTTTGATAAAACTATACTGGCTTTTATCGAAGTCAGAAAGACATCACTGCAATGTGGATGAAACAGTGCATGCTTTGGTGAGGGGTATCAGAGAGAAAAAAAAAATCATGATTTCAGCCATTCTGAAGCGTGATGTTCTTCCTCAATCAGCCTAATTGACAAAAGGCCTCAACCACCAACGGTTGATATTTGGAAACCCTTTCTTTCGCACTACAATGCAAATAATCACAATGAAAAGAAGAGTAGTAAAACAACATTGATAATAATGACATGAGTTATGATGACGGCCATGATTTTTGGAGATGGACCCTACTAAAATGAAATTAGCCTTGATTGGTAGTATTGCAGCCATGGAATGAACCGTTTATTGATATGAAATTTTAAATTTGTCCATGATCATTTTTCAAGTGGTAACGACACCGGAGTCAAGATCAATGACACTATGTGGCATCACATCTGTGTTACCTGGAGAAGCACAAACGGCGCCTGGCAGTGTTATCTGGATGGACGACTCCGAAGCTATGGAACAGGCTTGAAAGAAAATCATCAGATTCCAGCTGGCGGAACAGTTGTCATTGGACAAGGTCAAGATACAGTCGGAGGGGGCTTTCATATCAGTGATAGTTTTGGACCAGGTGAGGTTACAGAAGTTAATCTTTGGAGCAGAGTCTTATCAGCGAGTGACATTGCAGCACAGTATGCAAATTGTCATATAACCAAAGTCGGCCTGATGGAATGGTGGGAACAATTCAAAGATGGCGTTTCAGGTGTGACAGTAGTCGAGCCTTGAATGACGAGATCATCGACTTTTTGCGCGTAGCAGAGTCCAAGAGTTATTGTGAGAATTTACGTTCTTTATAGGACAACAGCAACAATACCTCTTCACTCCTTTATAACTGTGAAGCTAATTTGAATTAATGTTTATGATGCGAATTATTGATTAGGTTACTGCAGCTAACTCATCAGAAGTAAATCAGAATAAACTAATGCTGGAACCACGCTCTGTATCATTCTTGACTACCTTAAGCCAAGTGGTGCCTTTATGATCTATTGTTTCCAACTGTGACACCCTATTAGGCGTATTTCTGAGAATACCGAGAGTCAATGGACACTCACAAAAACAACAAATGTTTTTTATTTTACCATAACATTCTTTTGGATGAGTGGAAAGGGTTGACTCACCTCATCTTGATCTATTCCCGATCTTTCCTCGCCCATAGCTCCCGCTCATATCGAAAAACTGGAAAAATTATTGACTGCCAGTATTCTGTAATTGTCTCAAGTTTTTTTTTAATGAATGTATTAAGTTTTCTTTGTTTATTTAGCAATGTTATGTGTTTATTCATGCCGTTTCCATTTTGAGTCAATTTATGTCGGCCTGCCTTCAGTCTGAAGGTAAGGTTTAAACATCTGTTAAATAAGGGGAGTCTCTTTTTTTACAATACGGTATTTTCTCCCACGAAGTTTACAGGTGGGCTGCTCTTTGATTTACTCGACCCAGTATTTCCTGGTCGCACTTAACATATGGTAGGTAAGCAACAGCTCTTCAACAATCTCGTTCCCACATTGTCCCACGGGCCTCTTCCCTTCTGCCCACTCTTTCGCTGGCTCCACGGGGAGAACCTACATGTAGCCGTATCCTACTCCCCAAGGTGAAACGGAAGCAAGGGAACACTCGCTTCCATTTCACCGTTTGTGTGTGCGTGTGCGTGTACGTGAGTGTGTGGGTGTGTATCAGACAATTTGTGTAACTGATGTTTTCCATTTGTAAAGAAAAAGAGCACAACTTTAAAAAGCACCAAAATATCGCATTACTTTACCTTAACTTAAGAAAAAAGATAACTCAAAAATGCTCAATTTTTTAATCGAGTTCTACAGGAACGCTCGAGTCGAAAAATGCAAGCCGTCTTTTCTCTCTTTTGGTCACCAAACCTGCACCATGGTCCCAAGCGTTCCTAGCGGAGATGCTAGAGTCTGGGGATGAGAATCGCGAGCCTCCCTCAGTAAGTTTGCCTCTGTCCCTGATATCACACTTTTTTTTTTCTGCTCAAATATTTGGGGGGTGGTACAAAGGCCGAAATTTTTGCCTGATTACATGGAGTTATTAAAATAATTTAAAGTGACAGCTGTCGCCTCAGGATAAAACGATATGGTTGGTTTTTCCCTCTTTTAGCTCCATCCTTGATGAAATCTCTTATTAAGTCTTGATCACGTTTACATGATAGATGTGGTAGCCTGCCCTGGCTGGTGGCTCGGTCTGTCGGGTAGGGTTACCCTATCAGCCAAGGTCGCAATGTGCCATGTAAACGTCTCAAGGAGGGTAACCCTCCTAGCCAGAATCGCGTTCATGTTACATTTAAAAGCGCGCCAACAACCTCGCCCCGGTATCCTGAGGTTGTAAAAATTGTTCGTAAACGCAAGCTTTTCGAGCACGGCTAGGCCTACCTGGAGTACCCCACTTTCATGCAAACAAGCCCTTAAAAGGAAGACGATATGACTCCTTGAATGACGCGACGCAACAGACAGCTGGTAACTGCGTGACTTTGATCTTCACTCCCAGGTTTTGGCAAGAGAGAAGTTCTTGCCACGCATTTGTGGCCTGAAGGAGAAAGAAATCCGGGAAATGTTGGTGTACTTCTCCCTAATTGGAATGTAAGGTACCATAATGATTCGATTAAGGGCCCTCTTTCCAATAAGCACTCCCTCTCTAAGAGAGCCCCCTTCGAGTCTGTTTTGCCAATAAGCGCCCCTGTTCTAATAAGCGCCCTTATTGAGTAAGCACCCTTATTCCAATAAGCGCCCCTTTTCTGTTTCAGTAATAGTACTGCTAGAGTGCTTGTACACTGAGATCAACCGTGGTACATCTTCCTTTAATTGCTCACGTGAAGCTTCACGACAAAAAAGTGGTCTTCGTCTCAGTCTCTCCACTATTATGTCGCTGTTAGTGCTCAGTTTCTTAAAACGAAAGATCCTGTCTTAAAATTTTGCAACAGTTGCTCGGCAAGTCGTTCTAGCAGGGAAGGGCCCACGGACAATAAGTGAGTTTTCCAGTCTTTTTGATCCCCAGCCCAATAAACATCAAAGCTTTGTTTCACATTCTGCTGATTCTCAAAAAAGAGATAAGCACCTTGTCCCCGTGAGGAGAGCGTCCTGTTTCGAATAAGCGCCTTCCCTTCAACTACTAAAAGTAAAGAAGCGCCCGTGGTGCTAAATCGAATCATTACGGTTGTACAAAAGCTAACTCTTATGATAAATTGTTGAATGGGAGAAGGATGAACTTTTTTTCATGCAGTAGGGAGCTCATCACTCAAAGAGAAGCCACCTCTCATTAACGATGCAGTAACAGCGTCGAAATTCGTGAAAAGTATGCCAGGAATCTGGTACCAGGACCCTACTCAGACCTCTGGCGGGCTTAGCCGCTCACATAGCAGTGTGAATAAGACCTTGCTGGCAGGTCAAGGTTCGAAACGAGCGCCTTTCAAAAATCGTCGACACTCATTGGTAAAGTTCTGTAGTTAAAAATTGTTGATGTAACCACCGGCGCTCTTCTTGGTCCAGGTCAGGACGATGAAATGTGTATCAGAGGACCAACAATTATGAAAGGTTGTATTTGATTATAAGCGAACCAAAGTACGCTCCAGAAAGCTACGTATTCAAGGCCAGGTTACCCGTGACTTCCGATGCCACACCTGTTTTCTCTAAACTGAAAAGCCGCGGGCTTATTCACTCAGGTTTCCATCTTAGCGTGAGGATCAGCATAAAACTTTCAAAACAGTCAGTGCTTTGAGAGGGGTTGGGGAGGGAAAGGGGGGGTGGAGGGAAAAATATCTTTAGCACAATAAAGTTTTATTCTTAAACTCGCCGAAAACTAGCCGGAATCTGTTGTATTTTGATCTCAAAAGCGAATTCATTACTTGCGCATACTTTATTTTGCTCTTTATACTCTTTTTGGAAAGCATACCAGTCAGTTTCACGAAGTTCGTCGCTGTGTCCTGATCGGGTAAAAGTGACTAAGACAAATGACTAAGTTTACCGATTCAATGACGAAACCTGACGACAATTTAGCAATCGTGAACGACTACTTCCGAAAACCGAACGAAAATTGGTTCTTTTCTGTCTCGGCAAAAGCGGTAAAACTTCTCTTGGAGGAAAATCGCTGTACGCGTGTCCTCGCTATTTGTCCCCGAGCGGTTGCCGTCCCCCGGCCAAACGTTGGGCTAATGTCGAAGTAAATTTGTATATTCGCTTAATCTCTGTCTCGGCAAAAGCGGTATGATTTCCTTTAGTGGAAAATCGTTCTTTGGGCGCGTCTTCGCTTTTTGTCTTTAAGCGTCTGTATGAAATGACAATTTCTCCCTGGTTACCTAATCCTGAAGCTACCGGCCAAATGGTAGATACGGACAGATAGGAGCACAAGGGTGATACGAGACATAATGGGCATTTCTTTATCGTGGACAGGTTGAAAGAACTTATCAAGTACAACGCATTTCAGATAAGGTTTTAATCCTAGTCCATCTTGCGAACTTTTTGCCATCTTGCGACCTCGCTTTAGGTCTAACACCCTAAAGTGGAGAGGAGTTTGTGTCTGAGAAGGAACCAAAAATACTTTTTGTTTTTTCGCGTGAAGTTTTAGATGAGGAACACCTGAGTATGAGTAGAATTTTGGTTCGGAGAGCCGCTCGTTTTCAGCTAAAACAAAAAAGAAATTTAGATTTTAAATATAATTATACTGTTTACTTGATCATCAAACTAAAATATCTCTAAAATTGCACGATGAACAGTGAAGTCGTCAAATAACTGTCTTTGTCTCCTTCACACCAGCATTTATATGAGAAACATTCTCTCTCCATATCGAAGCAAACTTATTTGAATAGGGAATGCAACAGACTTGGTATGTCGACTTTGCAGGGGACATTTTCTTCGATGAGAATTTCAGACTAAGAAGCGTTAAAACTTTCATCATTCAGCGTTCCATTCGTAATTTCCATACATTTCCCCGTATTTCCTGGGTATATTTATATACGTCAACATACTCGAAAGGTGATTCGCCTGTGGTCCGCCACAGTATTACTTTGAAGCGATATCTGACATGGAACCCAGACGTTTTTCCTGGCCAAAGCTTGCAAAAAAACATCCCCATCGTCTCTTTATTTCAAAATGATTCTTCATCCTGTCAGCGTCTTTTTACGAAATTACTTTTTTCTACTAACGGCCTCCGGCCAAAAGTTATTTCGTAAAAAGACGCTTCAAACGGCCCAAGGATGCTTTAAAATATCACAGATGCGTCGATTTACATTCCATTTGACTTCATTGAGATATTCAGACCGACATGTAATTTAGACAGGCAATTTTCAGAGCTTTATTCATTACCCTCATAGATTTTGTTTGTCTCACGTCAACAATTATTAACCACGAATACATAGTGTGGTATGCCTGTGTTCGAACACTCTACCAATGAGTTATGGGATATTCGTGGCTGGCTATGGTGGACCTCAATGAATAAGCTTTTTGACTTGATTTTCTCTGGAAAGGAGGGAACAAGCAGCAAACACAAGCATGCATTCCGAATTAAAAATAGCACAACTTTTTGTGTTGCTTGTAATGCCAAAGTTAGTCATAAAATTCATCGAGAGAAAAACTATATTCTTTAATCCTCAAGATCAAATAAAAAATTCTCCCTTATAGTCTATTAAATCAGTTGAGAGAACTTGGCGTTCTATCAATTGAACGCTTTGTCTGAAAAGCTTGGCTTTTTTCTGTATCTGTTGATGGATATTATAAACGAATTGA